GGCGGGTAGCCGCAGCCGCGCGGCCGCGGTCGGCCGAGCGGAGCTAGCGGAAGCGGAGCCAGGCAGAGCCCCTGCGGTGGCGAGGGTAGGCAGCCCGGCGCACGCGCCTGCCGGGCGGGACGGCCCGCCCCGCGTTCCGCAGGCGGCAAACCAACTTGGCGGATTCTGCAGCGCAGCTACGCCGTAGAATCCTCACAAGGAAGATTTCCCATATCACTTTGAAAATTATGTGCGGCTACTTGGTAACTTTCGTCTGAAGGATCTTTGTTCCTTATTTGGTCGAATGTGGAGGAAAAATGTGTGTTGTTGCAGTGGCGACTGCGCACGTCGTCGTGCTGGAGGCCTGGAGAGTGCCTGGAGAGTGCGCCTGGAGAGTGCCTGGAGTGCGCCTGGAGAGTGCCTGGAGTGCGCCTGGAGAGTGCCTGGAGTGTGCCTGGAGTGTGCCTGGAGTGTGCCTGGAGTGTGCCTGGAGAGTGCCTGGAGCGCCTGGAGCGGCAGGCTCAGTGTCGGCCACCCGCCGCTTGTCAGGCAAACGCCCTAAAACGAGGGCCCCGGAATTGGAGGGTTCGGCAATGATTGCCAGGGCTCGAAGGGCCCTAGTGGGTTCCTCCAAGGGCCCGGCCCGCCGCCCCGCCCCGCCGAGGCCACCTTGTTTGCCCTACCTGGACCATCCCCGCTGTCATTTCCAACGGCAATGTTGTTTAAATTAGCGCCGCACTTTTCAATTAAGTTAGAGCGGCCCGCTGCCGTGAGACTATGAGGCCGTCAGCGCGGAACTTAATTTAGCGCTTTATTTTTTGACCCGCGCGTCGCGCGCTGCTCCACCGATGCCAGGAGGAGGGCCTGGATGGCCAGAAAGGCGGGAGGGGGCCTGGAGGGCGTCCCAAGATCACGGCTCGCCTTCGCGTCGCTCATTTGTTCGGCGGCCCCTGGCCGTGAACCCCAAAGCACCGCGATGAAGGGGGATCAGGGTTCAGTGACGGCGGGAAAATGGGTCCCCTGCAGCAAACGGCCTGCGCTCCCGGCAAACAATCGCAGCGCTAAACCGGCACGTGCGTAGTTTTCTTCCCGCGAAACTAGGCGGCAAGTCGGGTTAACGGCGGTGCTGGTGGCGCGGTGGCACACTGGAAGAGCGGGCAGACGCACCGAACAATGCGCTCCCGCATGGGTGTCACGTCCCCGCTCTCTGCGACGCTTGCAACAACGGCACTCGGGATCCGCCAACCGCGCCAGCCGCGCTGCATTCGCTTTGTGGTTCGTCGTACACCAGGCAGGCCTTTACGGGCGGATTACGGCGATTGTTCCTGTCCACAGCCAGACTGCCTGCCCCTCCAGGGAGATGTCAGCACGACAGAGAGAGAGAGAGAGAGAGAGGGGGGAGCAATATTTTCTATTACCCTTGTTCCCTTGTTGGACTGCCCGCCGCCTGGCGCCGCTCCGCAGAGTCGGAGGCATGCCTCAAGTGCCTGGCTGGCTGCCTGCCTGGCTGGCTGGCTGGCTGGCTGCTTGCCTGCCTGGCTGGCGAGATAGCGCGCAAGTCGGACTGTGCGCCGCTCCTTTTGCGAGATACGGAAGCAGTAACCGACCGCGATGAGTTTGAGTGGTGCGAGTCCCCGCCCCGCGCCGCCCCGCTCATAGTCGAGTGGCATGCTGGCATTCGCTGGCATTCGCTGGCATGCTGGCACGCTGGCATCGGCTCCGCGACACTGGGGATTAGGTCTCAATGTCTCCCCCGCCTACCGCGGCCCGCCATCCAGCCAGCCAGTCGCTGCGACAAAAGTTTGCTTCTGCTATACTTTGTGAGCCGGGCGAAAAACATAATCCGCACAATGCCGTTGATGCACCACCACTTTTTTTTTTTTTTTTTTTCGGGATTCTCGTCCGAGCCTCCATGCAGCCTCCCGCTGGTCGCTGGTACTTGTTCTTGCCCTTCACCGAGTTGCCCCGCTTGTTGAACGCTCGCCCCAACTTTCCTCGGAATATTCCACCCACCCGCGGAACGGCCCGGAAAGCCGCAGCTGCGGCACGCATTCGGGCGCGCCCACACCCGGACGCTCGACTGCCGCCGCATGCCGCGCGCTGTCCGAGTTCGGACGCGTGGGTGGACGAGGAAGTCTCGGCGCGTCGCGTTAAGCTCAACGCAAAGGTCGCTCGGTCCACTCGGCCAGGCCTGCCTCAAAGATAAAGGCTTTCCAGAGACAGTGCAGGCGTACGGATGTGCTTCCCGACCACCTTCGCGGCGCCCCGGCTGCAGTCTCCACTGGCTCTGCTTGTCGCCGCGACGAGGCTCGAGAGGCCCTCGTCGTAATTGGAGGTCCACTCCAGAGACAGCCCTGAGCCGTCTGGCCCGAGGCAGCCCGGCAGCCGGCAGTCCGGGGTGGCTTGGTTTTTGCGGCCGAGGCGACGGCAAAACAGAGCGCCCGAAGGTGTCCGGCCGGAAGGGCCCTCCTGCGGGACCCTTCTGCAGGGCCGCCTCCGAAAGGGCACCGTGACGGCGGGGCTGGCCTCGACGAGCCTCGACGAGCCTCGATAAACAACAATAACATTTCGGCGCGACTCCCGGCGGCGGCACGTCGCGTGCGACTCTCTCGCCGCGCACCTGCTGCAGACTGAGAGTCGTTTTCGTCGCCCCGTGTCTCTCGCACCTGCACCGGACGCGCCGCGAGCGCGAGAGAGACAGCGACTCTGCAGGTGACGACCGCCCCGTCTCCGCAGACTCCCACGCACCTCCGCCCCTTCGATTTCCTTTCACCTCGGCGGGGTTTTACTGGTTTTACTGGGTTTACTGGGTTTACGGGTTTTACTGCGCGGGCCGAGACTGGAGGTAGTAAAAACAGAGGCACGAGCTGCCAGCCCCGGCGGCAGCGACAGCGCTGCAGCAGTCAAGGAGGACGAGGAGGCCCAGACCAAGGCCCGCCACGGCCGGACCGAGACGAGGCCACGTCCCTGATCGCTTCAGCCACGTGTTTTTCTTCCCGCCTTTCTGTTTCTTCAATTGTGATGTGTTTTTGTTGGGGTAGGTTCCCGGCGAAGGCCCGGAAACGAAAGAATCGCGGTTCATTGTGTGTCTGCTGACCTACCTCTCACTTGCCCATGTTTATTTATCCGCTAATTTTTTTTATTTTTTTTTTAAGATACTCCATGAATCTCCCTCCTTTTTTAATGAAAATGTGTGGCGGCGTGAGACGAGGAAGGCAAGGAGCGGCTGCCGCGGATTCAACTTGCTGCAAAAACAAAACTTTGGTCATCAATATTGTTTTTGCGGCGCGCCGCGCGCCGGTTTTAAGCCGCCGCGTGATGGGGTGTGAACTTGCGGACGCCTCGGGCGTCTCGGCCGTCTCCGCCGTCTCGCGCGTCTTCGCCGCGGCGCCGCCACATCGGAGGGGAAGAAGCCCGCGGTTATTTTAAGCAACAAAGGGCAGCAAAATAAAGCTTTCGCGCCAAAGTAGGGTCGGCGGCAGGCTGAGAGCCGAGGCCGGGCGAGAGGCTAGGCGAGGGCACAACACGGAAACAATAATGCTTGTTTTTATGGCGGTCATCCGGGGCATGTGTTGCCCTCCGGCCCCTTCGGCAGACGCCGATCGCACTCAGCGGCGCCAACAAGGGTCGGACAGCACGCCCAGAGAGAGAGAGAGAGAGAGGGGGGGGGGGACCTCTCACTCGGAATGAGCCGCAGGGGCACTGCAAGTCGGTGGTGACAAGTAGTCGTGCCGTGCCTCGGGGAGGAACGACGGAAACTTGTCGTTCTCCCGTTTTCCTCTTATTTGGTCCCAAAGCGTCAAGGGCTATTTTTGATCGCACTCACAATTCTCTGTCTCTTTTTTCCTTTTTTTTTTGTTCAGGCATAAAGTTTGAAAAACAACAACGGCGGGCGCACGATAAAACAGTCCTTGGTCGCGGTATCCTCTTTTCCGGCGCCTCCGTCGTGCATCACGGTGCCAACGGCACCCTCGTGGTGTGTTGTGTGTGTGTGTGTGTGTGGGTGGGTGGGTGTGTGTGTGTGTGTGTGTGTGGGTGTGTGTGTGTTTTGCCCTGACTTTGTGCACATGCACGTGTGGGTTATGTGCATGTCGTGAATCTTCCCTTTACAACAGCGCCTCGCTCGCTGTCACCATCTCGTCTGCGAGTGTGTGTGTGTGTGTGTGAGGGTGTGAGGGGGGTGGCTTGCGAGTGTGTTCGTGCGACTGTCTATGTCTGCCTATTTGTTTTGGGTGTGTATGTGTGCGTGTGTTTTGTGGGAGGTGGCGCAAGTGGCGTGTTCGTTTGTACCATGAGTATATGCAGCCGGGGTGCAACGGTGTGCTTCGAAGACTCACTTCATGGGTGCTCGGTCATACACCCCTCATGGCAAACGTGTGTGTGTGTGTGTGGTGTGTGTGTGTGTGTGTGTGCTGAGGTGGGTGTGTCCGTGTGTACGGACCTAATGGATTACCTCTAACGAGTTCTGCCCTGCCTGCCGGGCGGGCGCCCTACCGGCCCTGCCCCCGCCGCGGCGTCCCCCAGGCCGGCTCCCCTTACCGTCGCTACCGAGCCCTGCGGCCTGCGGTCAAGATATCCCGCCACTGCAGCCCCGTGTTTGTTTGCGTCTGTGTGTGTGCGTGTGTGTGTCCCTCGCCGACACCTGCCCCGTAGGTGCGCAGAGAGAGACGTAACACGGACAGGTGTGTGCGTGTGTGTGTGTGCCGCTGAGTAACTGGCTGGCTCGTCGGGTGCACTAACTTCCCCCTCCTGCGACTAGTTGCTGATTAATGGAGTGATACGGGCAAGTGTCCGAGACGTCCGCCGGCGTCTCCTGAGCGCGCTGTGCCGACGGGGCCGGCGCTGCGCTGGGCCGCTGGCGCTCCCCCATGAAAGGAGGGCGTCTGCGTGTGTGTGGGCGCCTTCCGCGTCCGGCGTTGTCGCAAACAAAACCCGACAAAAACTCTCCTTTCACTTGATTGCGCTGTCCTTGTCTCGCCGCGGGCACCACCTGACCCCTGCGCTGCCCTTTCTGCCCCCAGGTGTGGATCTTCGGCGATGTGTGGTGCTCCATGTGGCTGGCCGTGGACGTCTGGATGTGCACCGCGTCCATCCTGAACCTGTGCGCCATCTCGCTGGACCGCTACCTGGCCGTCACGCGGCCCGTCACCTACCCGTCCCTCATGTCGAACCGGCGGGCGCGCTGGCTCATCTTCGTCGTGTGGGTGCTGTCCTTCGTCATCTGCTTCCCGCCGCTCGTCGGCTGGAAGGACCGGGGCATGACCACGGTGGACGAGTCCTCGCTAGGTAAGCAAAACGCTTTCTCTCAAGCACTTGTCGATCAATTTCCGATGCATGAATTCAAAGTGGTTTTTGGCCCGTCCCGTTTATTTTTTGTATAAAAAATGACGGAGGGACGGGCATATAGTATGATGCATATGCCACGCACAAAGACCGTGTTTCTAGGTCTCAGGTGTCGGTTTTTTGTTTGCCGTATACGGCTTTCGGTCTGCCTCGTACGGTTTTTGATTTGCCGCATACGGTTTTTTGTTTGCGGCACACGGCTTTTGGTCTGCCTCGTACGGTTTTTGATTTGCCACATACGGTTTTTCGTTTGCCGTATACGGCTTTTGGTCTGCCTCGTACGGTTTTTCATTTGCCGCATACGGTTTTTCGTTTGCCGTATACGGCTTTTGGTCTGCCTCGTACGGTTTTTCATTTGCCGCATACGGTTTTTCGTTTGCCGTATACGGCTTTTGGACTGCCTCGTACGGTTTTTGATTTGCCGCATACGGTTTTTCATTTGCCGTATACGGCTTTTGGTGTGCCTCGTACGGTTTTTGATTTGCCGCATACGGTTTTTTGTTTGCCGTATACGGCTTTTGGTCTGCCTCGTACGGTTTTTCATTTGCCGCATACGGTTTTTCGTTTGCCGTATACGGCTTTTGGTCTGCCTCGTACGGTTTTTCATTTGCCGCATACGGTTTTTTGTTTGCCGTATACGGCTTTTGGTCTGCCTCGTACGGTTTTTCATTTGCCGCATACGGTTTTTCATTTGCCGTGTACGGCTTTTGGTGTGCCTCGTACGGTTTTTGATTTGCCGCATACGGTTTTTTGTTTGCCGTATACGGCTTTTGGTCTGCCTCGTACGGTTTTTGATTTGCCGCATACGGTTTTTCGTTTGCCGTATACGGCTTTCGGTGTGCCTCGTACGGTTTTTGATTTGCCGCATACGGTTTTTTGTCTGCCGTATACGGGTTTTGGTCTACCTCGTACGGTTTTTGATTTGCCGCATACGGTTTTTTGCCCGTCCCGTTTATTTTTTGTACGGGACGGGCCAAAGTTGCCGATGCATATCGCTACTTTTCCTGTTATCATAAATACATAGACATTTTTGATACGTGAAGCAATGTGTGACCTTCGGTGATTCGTTGAGATCACTTCCGGGGTGCACTGAGTGGGTGGCGGCCCAACGGGATGACGGCGCCCTTCGGGCTTCCGCTGGGCCGCCCCGCCCCACCCTACCCCGCCCCACCCCACCCCACCCCGCCCCACCCCGCCCCACCCCGCCCCCGCGAAGAGCGCTTTTTTCTACGCCCAGCATCACTTTCATCTTCACACGTGCGCGTGAAAAATGTTGACGCCCTCATGAATACCTTGAAGATGAAGGAGGACACGAGGTCGGGGGAACGGCGGGGCAGGGGGGGATTTCGCGGAAGGGGGACGTGGAGGGGCGCACCAATATAGCACCGCCTTTGGTGGGCCGGGCCGGGCTTTCATCGCAGGTGTGGGTAATGAAACAAGTGATTTCCCCCAGGGTGCGCTGCTGCGGAGCCTGCGGAGCCTGGCGGAAGGGGAGGGGGATGCGGGTCGTGTTGTCGAGTGCTGCAGCGCGCACTGCAGAGCCTCTGCGGGGATCAGGACCACTGCGCTCCAAGCTGCCGCGGTGGGGGCCAAGGAGTGCAGCGGAGGGGAAGGACGCGTTGGAACTGAACGTGTTAAGCAACGTGTCTGAGGCTGGCCTAAGGCTGGCCTAAGGCTGGCAAGCCTGCATGCTGCCTGAATAATGAAACGCTGCACCTCGCTAGGCTGCCAGCCCCGCCAGCCCCGCCAGCCCCGCCAGCCCCGCCAGCCTCGGATGAAAACTATAATCCGCGCGCTTCGGCCGGCATGGCGGAACGGCGCGGCAGACTGATTCCGAACAATGCGACGCCTCTCTCTCTCGCACCCACACGGGACGCCCCGCGAGTGCGAGAGAGACAGGGACCTCCCGCTCGGAATGAGCCTGCCGGCGGGGCGGGGTCGCATACTTAACGAGATCATGTTAATGGGCCCCGGAATCTGCAGAGTCGCCAAGAGAGTCACTGCGAAAAGTAAGCGGGGCAGCGAGGGGGCGCCATGCGGCCATGCGGCGCTGTGCCTCACAGTGGGCCAGCCTCGCTCTCGAACGAAACCGCGAGAAGGAGCGGCACGCAAGGGATTCAGCTCTCGCTTCCCGTGTCGATTATCTCGAAAACCGTGCGTGTGATGATATAGCCATCTGAATCGTTGAACTAAATTTCCGATTTTTGCCGGCGCTTGTAACGCTGAACATTCGCAAGATGTTCCGTTATTTTCCCTGCGCCTTCCCTTGAATGCCTACAGGCCTGGGGCCAGCACGGTCTAATGGAGCACGTAGGACAAGGCGGCACGGCAGGGAGGGCAGGGCGGGCTTACTGAACGCACCCGCGATGCTGTGCGGGGTGCCTCTTTTCACGGCGCTAGCCCCGCCCCCTCCCCCTCTCGCTGCAGAACGGATAAACCAATAAAGGAGGCGCCACGCTCGTGGTGTAAAAGAGGATAAAAAAATAAAGTTATCGCAGTGCAATTCCCTCTGTTCTCCATTTTCAATTGCTTCAAAGCAGAACGAGCGAGTTCGAGTCGAGGGACCTCCTCTAAAGGCGACCAACGTCCCGCTGCCTTCTTCTTGTCCCCCTTTCTTCCTCTCGAAGGCCGCGGTACACGCGGGTGGAAATCATTTGCGAAACAAGCCCTGGGATAACCCGACCGAAATCGTCCCGCCAAGTGGCCCGCATAAACAAGCAGCAGCTCCGTCTGGCCGCGCTATTCTTGAGTGATTTCCCTGTCGGCAGTCCGTGCGTGAATAATTCGCGTCCGGGCGGCCGAGGGCGGGGGCGGGTCCAATCCCCCATTTCCCTGACTGTTCTCCGAGGTGCATCTCCGGGGCCGGGGCGGGCCGGGGCAGCGGGCCTCAGGGCCAGGCTCGGGGCAGACGACGGGCACGCGGACACGCACAGCCGTCACGTGGGCGTGAACGACGCCGCCGTCCCTGACACGTCCCTGACACGTCTCTGACACGCGGCGCCGCGAGTCGGCTCGGCAGCGCGACGCACCTCCTGACGGCCTGCCCGGGCCTGCCACGCACGACGCGGTCCTCTCCGCGTATTTCCCATGCGGCCAGGTGGGCCCTGCCTTGCGCCTGCCGCGGCCATCGCCGCATGGCCGCCAGCATGGACGTCCGGGATGAATTTCTCATCCCGGTTCGACGCCGTGGCTTTGTTGCCCTGCCCGCAGGCGGTGCGCAGGTGCGTGGCCGAGGCGTCGGAGGCCTGCCGACCACACTCCTGGGGTCGCCGGGGCTGTCCCGGTCCACGCCGCGGCCCGCCACCACCGAGGCCGCCATCATCCTGGACGCCACCAACGAGACGGACCTGGACGTCACGCTCGCCGCCACCACCGCAGGTTCGAATCCCAGGGCTCGTCTTTTTTTTTCCAAACTCAGGGTTTGTTTGTAACTTTATCGTTTGTTTTGTTTTGTTTTTTCAGAGTGGCCCATGGCGCTGCGGGAACTGGCCGCCCTGCAGGCCGACGCCGACGGCCCGGAGGGCGTGGGGGGCTCCCGCGGGGGGTCTTGGTCGCGCTCCGAGAGCCGCAGCCGGTGCCCGTGGGTGTGCGAGCTCACCAACGACACGGGCTACGTCTTGTACTCGGCCTTCGGCTCCTTCTTCATCCCCATGTTCGTGATGCTCTTCTTCTACTGGCGCATCTACCGCGCCGCGGTGCAGACCACCCGCGCCATCAACCAGGTGAGGCCCTTCCCTCCCTCCGCGGTCGCCGTCGGCACGGCTCGCGTTGCGGCTTCGCGGCGTCGCAGCCGACGGCAACGCCGCGACCGCGGGATCGAAACCCACCGCCGGCGGACTTCATTTGTTATTTTTTTTGCATGTGTTGTTTCGTTTTGTCGTCACCGCGATGCTTCATTAGGGACACTGATGAGTTCGACCGCCTCGCGCTTATTATGTTTCCGCTGCTCCTTTTTCGACGGCGGCAGTGCAGCGCAATTAAACACAGGCCGCCGAGGAGGGCGAGGAGGGCCCGGGGATTAGAGTCGCCGGGCGGGAAGGCCGTTTAACGCAGACAAACGGGCGCGAGTACGACAAGGCAGCCATGAGGCAGCCATGAGGCAGCCATAAGGCGCACCCGCCGAGTGGCGAAGCCTCGGCTGAAGCTAGGCTGAAGCGCCATTTGACTTCGCCGAAAGTCCGACTTTAGGAGTCCATATCTCGTGAACGGTGAGCAAGACGGCCTTTGAGTATGGAACATTATATTTACAATATCAAATTTTACACCTGAGTGATCCTCTGCGGAAAACTCGTAGCACTCACCGTTAACGAGTTACGGACACCTGAAGTTTGCGTCATGGTTGGTTGGCCGGGCTGCGGCAAGGCGATTGCCCCAATCATGGAGGCCGCCCGAAGTGCGCTGTCCCGCCAAGTCAGCAAACCTTCAAACCGGCGGCCGTGCGGCCCGCCCGGCGCGGCGATCTACAATAAGGCGCAAATAAGGCGCTCATGAATATGAATCCCAATATCGATCTGGCGCGCGATGGCGCTGACACCGCACTGCGCGGCACTGCGCGCCGGCCCCGCCCTGAATAACAAATTTACCCGCGCGTCCTGACAGCGCGGCGGCCTGTAGTCTTTTGTCGGCCATAACATTTTTCCGCCGCCACCGATATCGGCGCGGAGGTGGAGGACTTGGCCATGGCTCGGCGTGTCGCGGCCGGGCCAGGTGACGCGAAGTAGCCGAAGTGTGTTGCTCTATAGAGCAAGCCGAAACTGCCCCGCGGCGAAAACGACGCGCGATCCAATACGCCACTCCTGACGATGACGCTATCATGTTGTTGTGAGAAGGTAAGGGAGAGTGGGGTAATTCCGGACGCTTTTTTTCTTTTTGGTCTTTGAGCTTGAATATGCTTCTTGGGTTAAATGTTATGACAGGAGAGTAAAGTATGGACCTTTACCTTCAAAACGGTATACATGAAAGCCAAATCTCAGCAACGGTTAGGGAGATATAGGCGCCTAACAAAAGCCCTGCACGTGTCCGGAATTGCCCCAGGCTGGGGTAATTCCGGACGACCTATGGGGCAATGCCGGACGACCTTAAAATTTGACACTACTCGAGCTTACTTTCGCTTGGTTTGATGTGAGGCATGCCCCTAGAAGGCGTTTAAGGACATTTGCTGCGAAGTGAAGTGTTTGATTATTACTCAAAGCATATTATAAGGAATAATTTCTATCAAAACCCCTAAATTGACAACACTGTCTTGAGTAAAGCTCTTAAACATAGCTGCAATGCTATTTTTCGTTCTTTCTTTATCCTTCTTAACGGTGGGGATGCATGTCCACAATTTTGAACCCACTACCTTAACATTATGCGGGAAATTGAAGAAAATAACCCTTATTGTCCGGATTTACCCCACAGGTAGTGAAAACCTTTGATGTTCAACTGTAAGAAAACGGCGAGCCATACGAGCACTCCCGAAACGCCAAAGTAAAGTCCAATGACCATTAAATATGATAAAATTTTAGTCATGGGACTGAACTTGACGGTAAGGTACGATAAGTACATGGAAATACGAGGGAAAGATGCAGCTTTTGCCTTTTTTTGATGGTACTCAAATTTCGGGAAGCGACCACAGGCAAACGGTTTGACCTCCTACTTTAGCGATTTGGAATTCTCCTTTTAAACTGATTATCTTCCTCTGTTAGGCGGGCTTTTGAGTTATCTTCATTCAAACCCAGTGAAAATCGAAGTGTCCGGAATTACCCCGTGTCCGGAATTACCCCACTCTCCCTTACCCAAGGCCGCCACACCACTCCGAGCTCGGCGACGGTGGCGAAAGGCCGGCGTTGTTGTCGCCAATTCCGGGAAGAGGCCCTGAGTACGACGACAACCCCCGCAGCGCTCCGCAGCGCAGTGGGCCGGGAGACCGGAGGAGGCGGTCAAAGTCCCAGACGGGTTTTGAGCTCCAGAGTCGCTGAACAGGACTCGAACCGATCGTGTGACCCCACCAATAGACTCCTCATTCGGAGAGCAATCCATTGGTGGGGTCACACGATCGGTTCGAGTCCTGCTTAGCGACTCTGGAGCTCAAAGCGCGTCTAGAGTTTTGGCCGCCACACCGGCCTCTGGCCCACTGTGCGCAGCGCTCCGCAGCCATTGGACGCCGTCAGCCTGACACCGCCGCCGCTCTTCCTTGTCCTCAGGGCTTCCGCACGACCAAGGGTTCCAGGAAGTTCGGCAACCGGTTCGACGAGCAGCGCCTCACGCTCCGCATCCACCGCGGCCGCGGCTCCGTGCGTCACGGCGACCGTCACGGCGACCGGGGCCACGGCGGCGCGCAGCACTCCACGCCCTCCACGGCCACCACCACGGCCGCGTCCAGCGCAGCCAACTCGCTGAGCGGCTCGCCCGGCGGCAAGTCCATCGACAGCCTCAGGTGAGCGGCCACAGTGTGCTCGACGGCCACTTCGATGCGCGCGGAGCGGGGCCGAAAAAAGGCCGCGATGTGAGAGCGGGGGGGAGGGGAGGGGGAAGGGGTTGCGCCATTAGGGAAGCGTCATGCATCGTTAGGACGAGGCGGGGGGAGGGGGGCGATTGGGGTAATCACCTCCAGCCGCAAACAGCATCAACCCCTCCCCGCCGCCAGGCCGCCACTTCGCTCATGAGGGCGCCAGCCATTTCACGCCCCTAATCTCCACTCAGTGGCAAAAATTCCCGCCATCGCGGCCTCGCCCAGCGCAGCACCGGTGCAGCAACCCCCAACGCTGATCGGGGACTTGTTGGCCTGCAGGGTGCAGCGGCGCGCGTCCATCCGGCGCAGCGTGGAGCGCAGCCGCACCTTCGAGAAGATCAAGATCAGCGTGAGCTACCCCAGCAGCGAGGCCATCAGCAGCCACCAGCTGGAGCAGCCGGACGCGGCCAACGCCGCGCAGCCCCACAACAACAACGGCAGCGCCACGCAGCACGGTGAGTGGCTTTCCTTTCTCGCTCACACACTGCTCGACGCGGCTCTCCGCAGCGACCGAGTATTTAATGGCGGGAACACCGAGGCCCAGTCGGCCGGCCGCCCTGATCACAATTTATCCTTACTACCCTTGCGGTGGAGGGGCGCCGCGCCGCTTGGCGCTTCCCGGTCGCTGAGGACGTCGTCAGGGCGCCGCGGCCCTCTCTCTGTCTCTCTCTCTCTCTCTCTCTCTCTCTCTCTCTCTCTCTCTCTCTCTCTCTCTCTCTCTCTCTCTCTCTCTCTCTCTCTCTCTCTCTCTCTCTCTCTCTCTCTCTCTCTCTCTCGCACTGGCAGGGCGTGCTGATGAGGTGCGAGAGGGACAGAGCGACGAAGCTGCGTCGCGGAGTCAGCCTGCGGCCGCCACACCTGCGGTCGGTCCTGGGGGCGCGTCGGCTGCGTCGGCAGCGTCGCCGGCGTCGCTGGCAGCGTCACGGCCTCTGGGGGCTTACGCCAAACAATCGCGTGTTTTGCGCGTCCCGCCGCCGCGCCGCCCCCGTTTTATTCATCGCGCCGCTCCGTTTTTCTTCCTAGTGTCCCTCTGTGCCGGCCCGCCCCGCCCGGCCCAACGAAGGGTAATCCCGTAAAGCCACCCGCCGGGATTTCTGCGCGGTTTGTGTCCGCAGCGCGCGCTGTGTACGCCTTTTTTTTTGAGCCCAGCGCGCGAGAGCCCCCCGCGGCCTGGCCGCCTGGCCGCCTCGCAGTACAGCGGCGTCAAACTGCGCGGGCTTGGCTTGCTTCGCTAGCTGGGCTTGCTTCGCGAGCTGCGGGCTTTAGTGGCGGCAAGCTCAAAGCGCCACAGGCCGCCCGGGCTGCCCGGAGGGAGGCAGGCCGGGCCACCTCGCCGGCATTATCGCGACTTATCAGTGCGACTCGCTGCTCATTTTTCGTGCCCGGCTCGGCTCGGCTCGGCTCATCGTAGCCAGTCCGCGCCTAAACGTATAAACCACCACCGCACAAAACTTTTTGAATAATTGCGCGGCTCTCGCGTTGCCTCGCGCTGTCTGCCTGCGACGCCGTGCCGCGGCGTGGAGCAGCCAGCCAGATAGGCAGCCCGCCGGGCAGGCAGCCAGGCAGCCAGCCGGCAGGCGGCAGCAACAACAGGCGTCATGTCGTGAGGGGCTGAGAGCTGAGGGTGGATCCATTCATGCGGGGAACGACACCGCCATGCTAGCGCGACGCGTCGACAAGACCCTGCCCGAGACTTTTCATTTTTCCCCTCTTTTTCTCCACCTCGTGCTTCTTCACAACGGAGAACGGGGACGAAGCGCCTCGCGCGACTTTTTGAAACGTTCATTTCGTTGAATTCGACTTTGAGGCGTCTCGACTCCAGGTTTGACGACGACCGCCCCCTGCCGGTGCGGCTGCCTTCCCCCTTTCCCCGGGCCTGTGTGTCATTGTCATTATAATCCCCCTCTCCCGCCTAGGCGCGCCTTCGCGAGGCGGCTAGAAATAAATCGGTCGGTTCGCCCCTTTTTGCGGAGCGCGGAGCGCCCAAAATTCCAACCTGGCGGCAATTTGCGAGGTTTGCTCTGCCTTTTAATCACTTGGCGAGACTCTTGGCGCCGGAGGGGAGGGGGCCGAGAGGGGTGACCCTGAACGATGCGACTTTGGCGATCGGTCTCCCAGAGACTCGCAGAGACGCGCGCGCCGCCGCGACTTTCAAAGCTGCTTCAGCCCGACTCCGCGACGAGACTCCGCGACTCGGGGCCACGAGGCCCACCAACGCCGTGCGCCGCCGCCGAGACAGTCGAGGTCGAGGGGGAGGGCGGGGGGAGTCCCGCGAGTCCCCGCGCCGCCCTCGGGGGCAGGCCGCGGAGGCCGAGGGCGTCGCGTGGCGTCGCGTAGCGTCGCGTAGCGTCGCGTAGCGTCGCGGTGTGTTGACTCGCGCTGCCCTTCGGTGCCTTCGGTGCCTTGGGCTTCCTCCCCCGCGCCCTCATGACGGTCGTCGCCTCGACCGTCGCCTCGGCCGTCGCAACAGCGGGGCGGCGAGACTCAAATATCGTTAACCCTGAGTAAACTGGGGCCCGGCTGGCGGGCTGGCCGGCCTCGGCGACGAGCTGGTGGGTGAGGTCCCGGACCGTCCCGGACCGTCCCGGACGGAACGGACCGGCAACTTTTTCTCGCGGAAATGAAGGAGGCGGTCGGGTGGGCGGAGGGAGGAGGCCTTCCGCCTCCTCGGGGGCGGCGCGGGGCGGCGCGGGGCTTGTACTTGCAGATGATTGTGTGTACCGCGCGTAATAGTCAGTGAACACGGCCCGCGGTAACCAAGGAGGCCCGCGCCGGCTTTTTATGTATATTTACATTGCCCCCGCACGCCGCCCCTCTTCCCCCGGCCCAATCCCACCGTTGTTGTCCTCTTCCCACGCCACTCCGCTTCCGTTTCGCGTGTTCTTTTTCACTCCGCGTATTATTTTCCCCTATTCCGTTCTTTTTTTTCCTTTATCATCTCGACTGACAGACGGAAGTGGGGACGTGCTCATCGCAGTGGATGAGGCGGGCAGACAGCCAAGCAGGGCGGGGCGGGGCGGGGCGGGGCGGGGCGCGGTGGTGTGCGGCCAGGGAGCGTGCGGCGGGCAGAGCCAGCAGGCAGCCAGCAGGCAGGGCTCCGACCCAGCCCAGCCAAGCCCAGCCAGTCTGAAGGAAATCAGTATTCAGCCCTTTGGGCCGTAAATTGAAACTTTTCATCGAGACAATGTCCCTTGTCTTTGTTCGCCTCGACTGGCGTGACGGCAACCTCCTCCCCCCACCCCTCTCCTCCTCCTCCGCGTTTTGCTCACACCGTCATCACCCTTCTTCATCATCAACCTCCCCATTGTCCCGCCGTGTCTCTCCCCACCATCGGCCAGCTCGTCCAACGCCAACACTCGCCGACACCCAAATTTATACCCCCCGGTTGAACCGTGCCTCCGCTGCCTCCGCCTAGGTGCGGCGCCCCACTCTGGGAGAGAAGGCCCTCCATGGTGACTTTCGAATGAGGCTCAGGGCCCAGTTCTCTCTGGGATCCACGCTCGACGAGCCCACCGTCAGAAATCGCTCTCCGAAACGCCAACTGTGGGGACAGTGTCAGTAAATGCAAGCACCATTTTTTCTCAACAACTTTTTTTTTTCGAGGGATGACCGGTCCAGTGTCGCCGTCGTGGCAGCCGCAGCCTCCCTGCAGATGAGGCTCTCCCTCCCGGGCCTCGACCGGCCCCCGCCCTATCAGTGACGTCACCCAAGTTTTGAGTTATCGACAGTGACTTCGACATACTGATGTCAATTCAACTGACTTGGGAAGTCAGCTTATTTCTGACTGTCGGAACAGAGAACACGAAAGTCCCCCCCCCCCTCAGCCCCGCGGGAGGCGAGCGACTCACACCTACGAATGGCCTGGAGGGGCTGGAGGGGCTGGAGGGGCAGCGATAGCGAATAGGAGCGGTCTCTTTCATTAGTCACAATCTCGCATAAACTCTGCCAAAAAAGGTGAATTCCCCTTTTTTTTTCTAAAAGAAATGAGAAGATAATTATTTGAAGGATGATTTACGCGCCCCGATGTAAGCAAGCCGCGCATTATTTTCCGCTACTTTGGCGTGCTGGGATAATTAAGCGCTTCCAAAAGCCAGGGCGGCCAGGCAGGCAGCCAGCCAGGCAGCCAGCCAGGCAGCCAGCCAGGCAGCCAGCCAGGCAGCCAGCCAGGCAGCCAGCCAGGCAGCCAGCCAGGCAGCCAGCAGGCAGCCAGCCAGGCAGCCAGCCAGGCAGCCAGCCAGGCAGCCAGCCAGGCAGCCAGCCAGGCAGCCAGCCAGGCAGCCAGCCAGGCGCCAGCCGGAGCCAGCAGGCAGCCAGCCAGGCAGCCAGCCAGGCAGCCAGCCAGGCAGCCAGCCAGGCAGCCAGCCAGGCAGCCAGCCAGGCAGCCAGCCAGGCAGCCAGCCAGGCAGCCAGCCAGGCAGCCAGCCAGGCAGCCAGCCAGGCAGCCAGCCAGGCAGCCAGGCAGGCAGCCAGCCAGGCAGCCAGCCAGGCAGCCAGGCAGGCAGCCAGGCAGCCAGGCAGGCAGCCAGCCAGGCAGGCAGCCAGCCAGGCAGCCAGCCAGGCAGCCAGGCAGGCAGCCAGGCAGCCAGCCGACGGGACGACACTCCCTGCCGTCGGCGGGGCTGCGTTGCGTGCTGCGGGCAGTCGGCCTGTCTCTCTCGCACTCACGGGACGCCCCACGAGCGCGAGGGAGAGGAGAGACTGACCGCCCGGAAACTCGGCGGCGTCTCCGTCTCGCACGGCCCGGCGTTCATTGGGCTAATTCCTAAAGCGCGACCGCTCCTGACTTGCAAACTCGGGGCCGTGCCGTGCCGTGCCGTGCCGCGCCGCGTGACCACCGACTGCTACGCGTGGCTACGCGGCCCGCTAGCCGGAATATTTAAAGGATGAGAAATAAAGGTGGCGGAATGGCGAAGCTGTGCAAACCGCGGCCAGCTCACGACGTAGTGCGGTTCGGCCGCCAAACTTGGGCGACAAATCGAGTTACCGGTGTAGGCGGAGCGGCCCAAAATAATTATCTCTCGCTCATCGAATTAGCCGGCGCCGCTGATTGGCTCAAGGACTTGGAGGAAGAAGAAGAAGAAGAAGTGGGTGATGGCGGCGCTGCAGGTGCTGACCGCGGAGACGGCGGCGTGGCGACGGCCTCGAACGGCGTCATGGGAACAGGGAACACGGACGGGCTCATTAAGTGCCCCCGTCTGAACCTAATCTGGTGGGGTTAAACAAACAAGACTTTGAGACGCCGGGTGGGGGTGGTGCTGGCAGTGTGAGAGAGAGAGAGAGAGACGATAAATCAAGGCGTGGGCGTGGCGAGGCGTGGCGTGGCTGGCGGCTGCGGAGGCCTGCGTCGAGGCTTAGCTCGCCAGTCGAGGCCGTGACTGCGGACTGAGGCATGCGCCTAGGCCGAGACTCGTACACGGCAAGCCCGCCAGGCCCGCTGGGCCCGCTAGCGACAGCTGTGATTGCGGTATAGACTATTCAAACCGGGCCGCGCTAGGCGGGGAATCTCGGGGAGTCGTGTTCTCGCGGAAGCGAACGCCGCGAAGCGCGCTGCGCTGCATTAAGCCCCCCGCCCCGCGCCGCCCCGCCCTCCCGGCGCGCAGTTAGTGTGAAAAACTGTCCCGTTATGCGAAAACTTGCGTTCGGCTGGCGCGCTGGCGCGGTACGCGGCGCCATGCGCGGCTGAGCATGGAACATGGCGCAACGGCACGCTGTCTGGAGAGGCGGGGGCAAGGCGGGGGGCAAAGGGAGAGAAGAGGAATTGAGAGATTGAAATTTTATTCCTCCGGGATCCGCGTGCACAATGCACAAAGGCCGGTTAGAGATTCGACGTCCGCTTCGGAGCGAAAAGGGGGAAAGAGGGGCGTGACAGTGTCGGGGGAGGGGAGGGGGAGAGGGAGGGGGGTTGATGCGATGCAATCCAAGGTGCCGACAGCCCGATGGAGGCGTTGATTAAACCGATCGGAGTGCCGCGCGCCGCGGGCCTCGCCCCCTCCACGCCCCTCCGCGCCGCCGGGCGCAGTTTGTTTGAGCGGGACAGAGCGCCGCACAGACTCAAACCGTTGGAGCCGTTTGGAGCGCACCGAGGCCATGCAAGGCCGGGCTAGGCCACGCGAATGACGCGCACGCCAAAGGATGCCCGGGACGACCCACAGAGGCACGGGCACCAGCAGCAGCGGCACCAGCCGATTCCGTGGGAGTTTGCCAATTTCTGGGAACCTGTCGAACGACTCAGCAGATTCACCGTTGCTCTGCCTCTCCGAATGGGTGCGAGAGGGACCCGCTCTTTTGCATCACGCGGCTGCTGCGTTCCCCTGCAAAGTCTATTGCCGGCAAGGCAAATCAGCATACAGCTGTGGCACCGTGTCACCGTGGGAGGGGGCGACCCGCCCACGCACGCCCCCACGCAAACTCACACACTCACACGCCTCCTCCCACGCGAGCCCCCCGCCTGGCGTCATGCTGGCCTAGCTGCATTTCCGCCTGCCCGTCACTGAAATCGCTAAAAACAGGTCGCGCTGCGCACCCCGACAGAGTCGGACAGAGTACAGGGTGGCTTCGGTGATGACAAGCCAGCGCCCTGTCGGTCTCGCTCCGAACGGCGCGGCTCGGTCGCCCCGTCTCTCTCGCACCCCCGCTCTGTGGGTGCGAGAGAGACCGCCGCTCGGAGGCAGCCTGCGGGGCGGGGCGCTCGAATCACGGCCGATTCATCGCGGAGCCGCGCGGAGCGTATGCGCGCCATGACCCGTACTTTGCGCTCGGCAGTCACTCTGTCTCTCTCGCACCCCCACGGAACGCCCCGCGAGTGCGAGAGAGACGAGCGACTCTCCGCGGGATGGCTGTGCAGTGTGGGTAGTAGTCGGCGAGGCACGGTGAAGCGCCTGGCAATGGCGGGCGGGCCGTGCCGCGCGACACCCGCGCGCGCTGGGTTGCCTACCCTCTCGATCACAGGGGCTCTCGTTCAGAGCTCGCTTCACTCGCGCGCCAGTGTAGCGTGTCCTCACGTCGGTGGGGCGGGTGAGGGTCGCGCCACCCGCGGAATGGTTTCTCTGTGGACTTAGGCCCACCGCCGCCACGCCGCCGCCAAGCTTAGGGCGACTGGTGCACTAACTGAGTCTCTGTGCCTTACAGGCCCGCTGTCGTCTCCCAGCGCCAGTAAGAAGTCGTCCTTCTCATCGGCCTCGTCGCCGACGGGGCTCGCCAGCGGGGTGTTCGCCGCCAACGGGGCCTCGCCGTCGACCGTCACCATGGTGGCCACCCCCATGGGCAGCACCATCCACCGGCCGGGCTCCTGCCACCTCAAAGTGTCCAACGCCCGGAACCTATGTGAGTGCCCATGCCATGTCCAAAAAGCTCTCCTGTTTCTTTCCAAAAAAAATGACTGAATTTTTTGTTTTGGCCTCCCAGTCCGCAGGCGGCGCTCCTCCACCGAGTCTGAGTGCACGCGGGACAGCGCGGAGAACCACCTGGAGCTGCGCGAGTTCCGCGACCTGACGCCGTCGCCCACCTTCGAGGAGCAGAACAAGCCCAAGCTCATCTCCAAGATGGGCAAGCGGAACATCAAGGCTCAGGTACGTTGCAGCAGACACGGCGCGGGGAGGCTCAGGCCGAATCCGCGCGACGCCGCGCTCGACGCCAGGCCGACGCCAGGCCCGACGCCAGGACTCCCTCATCTCGGCACCGTGTTCGGTTTACCCCGAGCCAGATCCGAGCCAGATCCGAGCCAGATCAGGGAACTAAATTGGACCGAATCCGCGGCTCGGCTCGGAGTGCGGAGTGTGCGTCCCAGCACGCTGATGCCGGGCGGGACTTCCCCGTCGGTCTGTCTCCCTTCCACCCTCAGGGACTGCCTCCACGAGTGCGAGAGAGAGGGGCCTCCCCCCGGAAAGCAGTCTGCAGGGCCGGGGCTGGCTCAGGGGGGAAAGGTGCAAGAACTTGCTCACCCGAGCGGCGTGCTGGCAGGGCCGGCGTGCGCCAACAGCCCAATGTGTGCCAAAAACAGAAAAAGAGAGAGAAGGAAACGAACTGCCCGCCCCGCCCCGTGCGCACTGGAAAGAGAGTAACCTCGGCCTGCCCCTTTTTCCTCTCCGGTGGAAAGTATTTTTTTTTCTCGCATTTTCTTAAATTCATCCCGGCCTTCCCTTCTTTTTGCGACTCCAAACATTCCAAGTAAATATAAATTCAAGGAAACTCTTCCCTGGGTCCTTCCCTTCCGAGCTGTTCACAGCAACAACAACAGCAACAACAACAACAACAACAACAACAACAACGGAGCCACGCCGCGCGTTATTGGGTGGCAAGCCATTCATTTGTCGACAGTGTCGCGTGCGCGCGGCGGCGCCATGGCGCCATCAAGTCGAGTGCGTTCGTGTGTAAACGTTTAAACGCACGCTTGTGCGTTTTCCCGCGCGCTCGCTTTTAAAACGGCGCGCCGAATGAGCCAGCGGCGTGGGGGGCGAAGCGGGCGGGAGGGGGAGCATTCATCCTTGCCCCCGTAATCCGGCCCTGTCATGGTAACCTGTAACGCCCTCCTCCTCCCCCCTCCCCTCTCGCCCAGCCTGTGCCCCGCGTGCGATAACCAACCCTTACTCGCAGCCGTCCTGACGGGGATGATGTACTGGCTTCTAATCCCCCTTCCCCCTCCCCCCCCCGGCTTGCCCGACTCGACACCCCATCCCGGCAGAAACAGGCGCGTCGAGAGCGGCGCTCTGGTGACGCCGCAGTCCACAGCGCTGCTTGTCGCGCCGAGGAGAGATATAATTTTGCTGTTGTTGTTGTTGTTGTTGTTGTTGTTGTTGTTACGGTAATTTTAATTTTAATTTTCAGTGAGGCGCGCACGGTGAATGGCTCGTCTCGCCGACGGCCTTGTTGTCGTCGGGCGGGATCGCGCGGGAGGGTTGCTGCTGCACCTCGCCAGGGCGAGGGGGGGGGGTAAAAGTCGAAATTAAACGGCAGGAAGTGCCCGGCCGGCAGACGCGGCATTTTTATTTCGCGTTCTGTTCAAAAAGGCGGAACGGTCGCGGCTGGGTGACAGCGTGACAGCGACCCACATGCCGAGACGGCCGGAGCGGGCCTGCAGGGGGTGGGTGCGGAGTCGGCGGGGAAAACAAGGGTAGAAACCTTGCAAAAAAAAAAATTTATTCCCTCCTCTTTCTATTTCGCTGTACTGGACTGGCCGACCCTGCAAGCTAGGCGGTCGAGCCCTTCCAGGCAAACCGCATTCTCCAAACTCCAGTGCCAAAGCTCCGACCCTCCCTCGCAGGCGCCCCTCCACCTTTTCCGGGACGAGTGGCCACCCTAGTCGACCTCATCCTCATCCTCCCGGCTCGGCCCGGCCCCGGCTCACGTGGTGCCGGGCAGCCCGTATCTCTGGCTAAAACTTGGTGCTGGGTCGGTGGGTTGCTGGCTACTGCCGGCGGGTCGTGGTCTGGGACCCCGGGGCTATGCAAGGTCGTCCAAGGCCGTGGCCGTGGCCCTCGTGACGGCGCCGTGCTCAGTGGCAGAGGCAGACAACGCGTCAGATAATAACATCGTGAGCCTCCCAGAGGCAGGGCAGGGCACAGCCCTGGCACAGCCAGACCCTCGGTCAAGTTGGCGTCGGCCCGAGCCTTGCCCCTGGCCTTAGTGCTAGCCTCGGCCCTGGCCTTGGCCCTGGCAGGCTGGCCGGCTTTTCGCGGCGCCGAAATGAAAAATTTGGCAAGTGTCGGCGATGCCTGCGATGGTGGTGAAGGGAAGGTCGAAGCGAGGTCGCAGTGTGTCCGCCTCGGCCTTTGCCTTTCAACGCGCTTCCGGCGGCCAGCCCCGGCCGGCCTCGGCCTCTCGTCTGATTGAGGCCCTCGTCCCTGCCGATAACGGACGGACGCCCCACGGCCTCGGCCATGCTCGGCGGCATGCCCCCCTCCACTCGCGGCTGCGGCACTGTAGGCGGACGGGGCGCCGACGGGGTGCTAATTGAGCCCTCGGCCATGTCGGCCATCGACCTGCGCGCCGCGAAGAAAGGCAACGAACGGCGGATTGGTCGGCTGAGGCGTTTACAGTGGCGTCACGTGACGAGCCGCTTTTCCACCTGCGCTTTTCACTTTGATTATGTCACGCTGTCACGGTCGCTGATTGGTACCTCGCAGCGCAAACTATCTCGTTAGTGTCAACTTTTTGTGCCGCGCGCGCTGCGTACACAAACCATTCCCCAGCCCCCGCACCGTCGCCGGCCACCACCGGCGTGCCCGGCCCGACCCACGAATCTCGATTACCTTTTCAAATGGAAAGCATAAAATGTTATTTCTGACAATATAAGCCGCCGCCGCTGCCCCCGCCCCTCTCCGGAGGCCGCGTTATGAGATGGGCCGGCTGATTCACCGACCAGGACGCGCCTTGAGGAGGCAGAGGAGGCCGCGCCGTGCGCTATATGGACAGCGCGCTGGAACACCGCTCTCATCGCTCTGTCCCTCTCGCACTCTCGGCGCGCCCACACTGCTAGGCACGGGCCGAGAGGGACGGAGTGCCGTTCGGAACGAACCTGCGGGAGTGGGAGGGGACCGTTTTGCCGGCATGCCTCTCGGTATTGTTGACTTTCGCCCCGCTCGTTGCTGCTCGCTGGTGCTGGCCGAGGCAGGGCGACGGGGTGACGACGGGGCTGGGGCAAGCCATGGGGGGCACGGCCAGACACAGCCCAGGCCCGGGCACGCAGCACGCACTGACGGGTTAGACCGGGTTAGACGCTGTCAGGCTGCCCGCCTCCCCGCAGCGACCCGCCCCACCCCGCCACGCCCCGCCCGCCCCTTCGGGCGCACCCACGCCCTCCGCACGCCCCCGCCGCCGCCGCTCCGGGCTGCAATCCTTTCATTTCCTGGTCCCTTCACGACGACGGCGCCTCCGTCTGTCTGCCGCCGCCTCCTGCCTGCCTGCCCGCTCCGTCGGGGCGACACGTAGTAGATGGTGTTTGCGCCTAGGAAACTGGACCGCCTAACAACCGGTGTTCCGGTGTTCCGGCCCCGGCCAGGTCACGGTGCGACGTGCCGCCAGCCCCTCCAGCCCCGCCAGCCCGCCACCGAGGACACGTCCTGGCTGAGGCGGCGGAGGCGGCGGACCCGAACGGCATCGATCTTTAATAATGGCGAGGGCCCCGCGTTCGAAGGTTTACCTTTATTGTTATTATTACAGCGGCGCCATTTTGTTTTGATTGCCGGTGTTCGGACTCTCCTCCGCCACGGCAGTGTTGTTGGTGTCCCTCGCTCAGCGCCGGGTCCTTCCTGTTGCAGGTGAAGCGCTTCCGCATGGAGACCAAGGCGGCCAAGACGCTGGGCATCATCGTGGGCGGCTTCATCTGCTGCTGGATGCCCTTCTTCACCATGTACCTGGTGCGCGCCTTCTGCCCCGAGTGCATCAACCCCACCGTCTTCTCGGTGCTCTTCTGGCTCGGCTACTGCAACTCGGCCATCAACCCCTGCATCTACGCGCTCTTCTCCAACGACTTCCGGTTCGCCTTCAAGCGGATCATCTGCAGGTGCGTTGCGCTTCTAGTGTAGCAGGGCCTCGGCGTCGCCGCGCGCCCCGCCTGGCCCCGCCACGCTGTCTCGCGTAGCCTTCAGAACTTGACTGAGCCGCGGACCCGCTGACCTATCACGGCACGGGGATCTCGACGGGCTCGGGCGCACCGCTTTCTCTAGGTCTGGCCCGGGCCTGGCCGCACCGTTGCCATGACGACCCGACGAGCCTGGATTTCCTGGTGCGGTACTGCGACTCGGTCGCGACGAACCCTCCCTGTTTCTGCTCCCCCGACTCCACTGCGGCGGAGAGGGTGTGTGTCGTGTTGGGGAGAGTGCGAGGGGAGGGGGTGCAGCCAGCGGGCACCTGCGGGACCTACCTGGGGCCGTGTCAACCCGTCCCCGGGGCGGGCACTGCGGCCAGGCCGTGGTGGACACTCCTGCCGTGCCGCCCGGCGCCGAGCGCCTCGCCTGCTTACGAGTGTGTTGGGCTGCATAGCCCCCGGCGCTCGGCACGGCCGGCACAGCCCCACCCTCCCTCACCCCTCTGGTGCATGCTAGATTTGCTCAGGGAGTACCATGGGCGGGGCCGGCTGGCAGGCAGACGGCGGTTTCTCCCCCGGATTGTGCTCATGAAGGCCCTGCTCGTGGTGTTGCAGGTGCCTGTGCGGCGTGGCGGGCCGCAAGAGCAGCCAGCGCAGCAACCAGACGCGGCGCGGCTCGGACGGCTCGCAGCTCGGCGTGCGCGCCAACAACCCCACGGCCGTGTACCACGCCAACTCCAGCTTCATCGGCGCGGGCAGCACTGGCGGGGGCGCCGCCACGGGCTTGGCCAGCATGGAGGCGGGCACGGCGTCGACGGGCGGGCTGGCCGTGGGAGCGAGCCTCGGCGCCGGCGACCGCGACCACCTGCACGGCGCGCAGCACAGCGCGCAGCACGGCGCGCAACACCCCGCCAAGGGCGCGCCCTCGGCATACGGACTGCTGTCCGGCGAGGACAGCGACCAGAACAACGGCTCCGACTCCAGATGACCCGCATGACGTGGAGACTTCGACTAGGTCAGCGCTGCCAAGCTGAGAAGCACAAAGCCTGGCGGCGTCAGCGTGCGTCAGCGTGCGTCAGCCTGCGTCAGCCGTCCGTCCAAATCGCCGCCGCCGCACTGGACGCTGGCCCGCCCCGACGCCCCATCGCGGCCCCCACCTCGATGGCCCTGGCGCCCCTGGCGGCCCTGGCGGCCCCAACCCCGGTTTGCGGGGCCTGGCCGGGGCTCCACGCGGTCGCTTCATGATGAATGGGGACGGGGCGGGGCGGGGCTTTACCACAGAGCCCAGAGAGTCCAGCCCGGCCCGCGGCACGGCCGTTCACTGTGGATTTCGGCCTGCATGTGTGTGAGTGACTTAGAGTGTCGACGGCACGCGCTGATTTGTGAACGTGCCGGCCGGAAAATGTGTTGCGTGAGTGTGTGTGTGCCTGTCAGTGTGAGTGAATGTGTACGTGCGCGTGTGTTTGTCTCTGTTAGTGGTCGACCCGTGTGATGCTGTACATAAATGTGTGCATGTGTGTGAGTGTGTGTGAGTGGGCTAGGTGTTGGAGTTAAGTGAAAGCGCCCTGGCGTTGCCGGTGTCCCATCAGAAAATGAAGTGGGCTCTTCTGTCGTTTCAAAAGAAGCAGAAGAACCATACCGGCAACACGCGCCTTAGACTTTGTGTCCTTGTTTCTGCGCCATGCGGCGCCATGGCCGTGGAGACCTCTGTAAATATAGACTTTACTATCTCTCTGTTAAGACATGGCGAGTTTTCATTGAAGACTGTCGAGCTGCATAGCTGTCCCTGACGCCTTTGTGTGCACCGTGTAAGCCAATGAAGGCCTGGGGCTACTAACTGTACTTAGAATCTAAAATAATTGTATTTTTTATGAATGCCTCATAGACGGCCTGTCACCCTCGGGTGCGAGCCGTTTTGAAGACTATTCCAACTACTCTCTTGAAAAAAAAATTTGTTGTTTGTCGATTTAAATTTTACGACTAAGTTGACTCTTTCCATGTCAATGATTGTAAATATAAGTGTAAGCCCGACGCGACCTGAGAAGGGAATGGAGGGGCAAAACGCCCACGCACTGCAAGTGTGGGGCGCGCGGACTGACCTAAAAATAATCAACTAGGTGTTGTTGGTGAAGTGTCAAATATTTCGTTATGGACGAATCTTTGTGGCTATTTTGCCTCAGTATGTAAGTAACAAATCCTCTCTGCCAAACTGTACAGAATTATTTAAAAAGCTAAAAGAAGATTATTTTTGAATGCGCTGCCTTGCGAGCTCGACGACGGGCTACGGTGTGATATTACGCTTCGTGAAGTATTATTGAAGAGTAACGTTTTAATTTACATTAACCAGCTAAACAACGAATATTCTTACGTCCATGTCCATCCTTGGCTGTGGTTATTTGTTTCCAGCCGCGAGGGGAGGGACACGCCGACGAATGTAGGCTTTTGTTTCAGACTATTCGGCAGTGCCGCCTGGAATTCTATTTATTTTATCTGTTCTTTGCTTTTGTTTTGTAATCCTATGGGTTGGGGACACTCTCATCTCCTAATACAATTTACCATTGCACACACAGGTTTTCGATTTTGGCACAGTGCTGCCTGAGGGGACACAGCAGCCGTGTACCCCCTTCCCACTCCCCCCTCCCCCCAAAAAAAAGAACAGGTGACTGAACTAAGTTTTGTTATAAAACTCGTTTTTAAAAAAAAATCTTGAAAAAATATTTTCTGGATGAAAATCCACAAAGGAAGACGATACGCTTAGTCGCAGTAGATTACGTTTCGCCCTACAGCCCGAGGACTACTGTGTCCTCGTGGGCGGACTAGTTTGTTCGAAGTGTGTCTGTGTGCTTATTTGTGTGTGTGTCTGTTTATGTTAATGTCCCCTTCAAGTGACGAATAAAACAAGTCAGCAATCTCTCCCGTTGTTCCTCTATTTTTATACCAGTTCCCTCTGTTGAAAGAAAGGTTGTGTTTTACTTTGATTTCTGGAAAGTTTTAAATTAACTCTGGAAAAAGTTTGTGCAAGTATATTTGGTGCTTTCGGGAAATTACAATATTTGGAAAGCGTGCACAGGGGTATTTTAATGCCTCTTTGCACATCCGGAATGTCGTTCTATTGAAGGAACAGCGGCGGAATACAAATAGCTATTGTCAAGATTTATTTTTGGTTTGTTTGTACACAGGCGTCATTTTCAGGATGGACATAATAACAACAACGTCTTTATGAGAAGGGTTTTTTTGATTGCTGGTGGGTTTCCTGTTTCCGTCCTCCATTGCGAGTTTCTTTCCGTTCAGTGTGTTCGGTGTCATCAACAACTGCACACGTTCATCATCTTTCTTTCTGTCTGTCTTCGTCCCGTCCCAGGGTGATGTGCTCGGGATTCTGCCGGTCCTCGTTCAGATGGTGCGGCCCGCTCACTTGGCCTCCTCGCCGGAGCCGGCTCCGGAGCTGAGGGCCTCGATGAGGACGTTGGTGTTGACGAGTCCTTCGTCGTCGACGCCGAGGGCCTCGAACACGGTGTCCAGGTCGTCGTTGGAGAAGGGGTCGTCGCCCTCGGTGGTGAGCCTCTTGCGGAGCCTGCAACGAGCCACAGTTTGAGAAAACGACGGTTTTGGCGGGAGAATCGGGGAGGCGGAAGTGGCGGTGAAGACGGTGCGAAAACAAACCGAAACAAAGGCAAAACGGCGGGCCTCTTAGCGAACTGCAGTTTGAACGGAGGGCGTTTATCTGGAGCGAAAGGAGGGGAGGCTCCAGGCTCCTCGATCTACGGCTGCTGCTTTCTGGAACACGCGGGCACGCCCCGCCGGCCCGGCCGGCTAGCCTCGCAACTGTGTCCGATTTATTCGACAGTTACTCGCGTGTTCTTGGGAGCCGCCTCGCCTCGGCACGGCAGCACTGCGCCAGCCCGGCCGGCCAGGCTGCGCCGTTGCGCCCTTCAAGCTTCAGGCGGGGGAACTAACATATGTTACCTGACCAAAGTTGTTGGCCGGCCAAACTTCCCCGACGGAGCGAGCGCGGCTCCCGAGTGGAGTCGAGCGCGTTGTCAGGGTCGCTCCGTAAATTACGCCTCGAAATGAGCGAGCGACCGCGACCCGCGGGAAAGACGCGCCTCCCTTGTTTAGGTACACCTCGCGGGGCCGTTTGGGCCGCCGGCCGCCGCCGGCACTGCACTCGCCGAAATTACGGCACTTGAGCGGCCGCCGAACTGCTTTATGGTAATTCCCCCTCCCCTCCCCGGTTTAAACACGCGCCGTGTACTTCTTGTCCTTTGTTTCCGACTTTCCGCTCCGCCATCCCTCTCCATTCCGACTATCGGCAGCGCGATTCGGCGACGGCAATGAATCAGCGCGCCGGTTCTGCGAATAGCGATTAATTTCCGTACCTTGTTAGCGGGAAAACGTGCCCACTTGCAAAAAGAAATACAGAAAAATTTGATTCTTCTTTTGGGAGTTTTTATCTCGTGGAGCAACCCCCTCGAGATGAGCAACGTAGGCATTTGAACGTTTTTGTCAAGCTGACACTCACACACCGCCCCGTGCTGTCAGGCGGGTAGCACGCCAAGCAGTTTCCCTCGAACTATAAACGGCTGTTCATCACTTGGTTCTGTTTTATCGCCGAAGGGAAGAGCGAGAGGGAGGCCGGCCTACGTGCTCGGACGGAAGGCGCGAAGGCCTCAACAAACGTGCGCGTATCCCGAGCCCATTTTTGTTCCTTTTTTTCCTTTTCGGCGCGGAGCCAACGAAACGATACTCACAGCTCAAGGTCCACCTTGCCGTTCTTGTCGAAGCCGGAGACGGCGTTCTTCACGGTCTGGTCGTCGTAGGCATCTGCAGGAGGAGAACGCAGGGGAGATTGAGTATGGCCGGCAGGGGTGAGAAAGGAGGGCAGTCGGACAGGGGATCGTCGAGCCTGAGAAACGGCTCCACTCCGCCGACTGCCTTGCCTTGCCGCCTTCGCTTTTGAACCCATGGTTCTCTTGTTCGCAATATTTATAGACAACTTTTCGTTTAAAAAAATGTCCATGCCGTGTGGTAAGTTTAACATTGCCCTCACCTCCGGACATGTGGGCGGCGAACATGCCCAACAGGTTGACCAGGTTGATGGGACCGTCGGCCTCGGAGAGCATTTCGTTGAGCTCCTTGTCGCTGGTGGGCCTGCCGACCCAGTCAAAGGTCTGGCGGAGGTCCTCCTTGCCCAGCACTCCGTCCTTGTCGTAGTCCATCATCTGGAAGCCCTGCTTGAAGGCGGCGATCTCGGACTCGGGGAAGGCGGAGAAGACGTTGGACGCGGAGCGCTTCGCCTTCTTCTTGGTGGAGCCGGACTTCTTGGACATGTTGCTTTAGTTTCTGCGGCAAACAACAACAGAGAGGGCCATTATCGTGAGGCCATGATGATTCCGAGCGGTGCGGCGGCGCTGTCTGTCTCTGCGGAGTGCCCTGTGAGTGCGAGGGGGACAGAGCAGCGAAAGCAGTGTTCTGGATCGGCCTGCCGGGCGGCTCATCCTCGGGGAGGGGACCGTTATGAGGCATGAAGCCGTACTTCACACAGGGCCGGGCTGGGCGGGCCCTGCTGCTGCAACCCAGCGCCGCGACTACAAGCACAGGGCTTGGCCCTTTGGACTTGGCCCTCTAGCCGCCTGGCCCTTTGGCCTGTGCCAGATTATCCAGCTCAGGGAGTGCACGCGCTGCCCGCCGAGGGCCCCGCCGAGGGCCCCGCCGAGGGCCCCGCCGAGGGCCCCGCCGAGGGCCCCGCCGAGGGCCCCGCCGAGGGCCCCCGGCGGTGCGAGAGAGACAGAGGCGACTCCTCGGACTCGCTCGGCAGGGGCCACCGTGCCGTGGCCGGGACGCTCCCAAATTGAGCCCATCTCTGTCGAACCGAAATGAAACCGACTTATAAGGGTGGGGCCGCGCGGGGCACGCGCGTCGAAGGAGGAGGGGGGGCACAAAGAAGGAATAGACGGCGGGGCGCGGCACGGTCGGCTTGGCGATCGCGATTTTATTGTCCGCGCCGGCAGCGCGGGGGCGGCTGGGTGTTTGGTACAAGACAAAGCTTCGTCCGGGTGCCCCCCCCCCTTTCTTCCTGCTCCGCCTTCGCGGTGCGATCTGAGTGGATTTTCATGCGCCGCCCCTCCCGACTGCAGCGTTAGTGATCGGGAACCTCCGGCTTCCCGGCGTGCGGACCAGTACAGCAGAAGGCAGTGGTTTCAGACTTTGTCTTTTCTCCAGACACCTGATAGCTCTGATCGCACCAGTGGAGGAAAGAAGCAGCCAATTAAGTGCCCCCACCCCACCACACCCCCGGCCGCGTCCCCCCTTTCCCGCACCTCTCCGCTCCCACGAGTAGCGCCCCCTTCCCCCTCCACTTTCACGCGGCGTCGGCGCCCCCTCCCCTCCCCCGCCCCGCGCCTCGTCTTTCTCCCACTCTCGGCGGGCATTGAAAATAGTGCGACCCACATTTGGACAGGACCAAGCGGCTGCCGTCCAGCGCGCCCCCCTCCTCCCCCCCCCCTCCCCCCTCCGCGCCCTCCTCCCCCGCGCCCCCCACCCTGCGCGATGCCGTGTCAAGTTCCCCCGACCCCGCGGCCCGACCGCCGCCACCGCCCTCCATGTTCGGAACTTTGTCGCTTCCTGCTGACAATCTTCGCGAACTTTGGCGCACTACAGCGGGACCCAACCGAAGTATGAAAAATTGACGCGCCCGTTTACTTTCTCGTCACGGCTGCGCCGCGTGCCGCGCGATATTTGCGCGGTGCGGGGCCGGGGGGGGGGGGGGGGTCATTGACGAGCATAAATCACATCTGTAAGTTGGGCGGCAAGGAGCCTCTCGGGGGAAACATTTCCGGGCCGCCCGCCCGGGCCGCGCTCTCCTCGGGGCACTTTTTAAAGTGGCCTTATCACGCGCGGCGCACGCACAAGGAGACCCTGCAGACCCTCTAGACGCCAGGACAACTTTGAAATGACGTTGCGCCTGACCCCGTCCCGGCCGTGCCGTGCCTTGCCGCTCCGCGCTCCGCTCCGGTGGAGGCGAGCGTGAAATTTGATCCGAAATGAAAAGGAGCCACTCCGGGCCACTCCCGGCTTGATACAGACGCAAACGCGTGACGTCATCCTGCCGCCCGCGCCTGCCTCGCGATGGTGCCCGAGGCCCTCTGCCCTGCCCTCTGCGCCCCGAGGGGACTGGCGGGCTGGCAGGCTCCGCGACCAACAGGTTGCCCGGGAGCCTTTTCAGGCCGGCAGGCACCGCGCCGCACCATGACACACCATCCAGCGACCCGCGGCCCGGCGGTGCACGAGGGCACCAGGCCGCTGGGACGGCACCGTGCCCCAGAGACCGCCCGGCACACTGATTCCTCTCTCTCGCACCTACAAGGGCACGCCCTGCGAGTGCCAGAGAGACAACTGTGTTCGGGAGCAGCGTGCACCCTGAAGGCCAGCGCGCACATTTCATAAATTCCCCGTCCCGTGACGCGGACGAGGAAATTCCAGTCCGGCGTGGTGCAGCGACGGAGAATCTGGCCGAGGCTCGCGGCGTCTGCCCGAAGGACGAAGACGGGGAGGACGGAGCACGAGGCAGTCTAGGGCAGCCCCTCAAGGCCGCCGTCCTGAAGTTGGGAGCGGCGATAAGGCTTCGGGCGGCCGGGGAGCACGGCCGAGCCGCGCCGAGCCGCGCAGGCATCACTTTTATCACTGTTATCCTGGAGGTGTCCTTCAGGGGTCCTCCATCGACGGGCGGGGCGGGAGGAGAGCTTGCACGGGGCGCTCGAAGGCTCACAAACTTCACCACTGCACTGCGTCGCACTATTATCACCGTCTCCACACGCGACCAGACGACCACGCGACAGTAAGGCGGTAGGGCGGAAGGTGACCCCCAGGCCGGACTCGGCTAGCACTTGAACTTTACCTAGGGCAAACGGTAGACGAAACCTTCCTCGCTGACGCGTACCAGCAGAATCCGCGGCTTTGGGTGCGGCCCTCTGGTTTTCTGGGGCCCCCCTGACCCGCCCTCGCCCCCTGCCCCCCGCGACCCCCGCGGGCCCCTGGTGGCGGCCGCCCCGACGGCCCCCTGACCCCCCTTTCCCACGGGCTGCCCCCACCTCGGCGGCGCCCTGACCATAATTTGGAGGTGCGGTGCAGCGGGCCTCCGCCCCGCCCCGCCCCGCCCCGCCCCGGCATCCTCCGCCCCCACTCCCTGGGAACCGCAAGGAGACGCACGGCGTCGCTATTTCTGCCTCCCGGGCCGCCAACGCCGGCAGCGGCGGCACCGCCAGAGCAGCCAGAGCTATCCCCGCGACGCGGCCGCCCCGCCGACTCATTCCATTCCCAAGCCTCGCCCGTCGCTCCGTCGCTGTCGCACTCGTGGCGCGTGTCGTGGCGGCGCGAAAGAGACAGAGCGACGAGACGACTCTTCGAGAACAGCCCGCTGGGCCCCGGGGCGCTGCTCTGGCGGCGCTCTGGGCGTGGCACGCTCCGAGGGTGCGGGAGGGGAGGGGGTGACTCAGAGTCCCAGAGACGCGCCGCCGAGATGAAGCGTGCCGCGGCCTCCAACCCGAGAAAGTCCCCGGCGAGCGTGACCTTGACTTTCCCTCCCGCATTGACCCGGTGCGACCTGCCGACCCGCCGATCTGCCGCGACCCGGCGGCCCTGGCCGGGCCCTGGCCCTGGATAACCCGTGTGTTCAGGCGGGGCGGAGCGGAGCGGGCGATGGACTGCCACGTCAAAGAGAGAGACGCGGGCCGACACCAGCACAAACGGGCATTCGCTCCAAATAATTGATCACCGCGTTGATTGGTCGTGTCGAGGTTAATTTCGAAAGTGGCATTTTTATTTCAGAACAGATCTGCCAAGCTTGCACACTGAAAAAGAAGCGCGTAGTATCGTGAGAAAATGTCAGGCTCGGACTGGCCAGGGCTTCGGGTTTGGGTCCAGTAACGTCACAAAGTTGGTCAAAAAGTGATTGAATCTCCGAAAGTAGCAGTTTTCGTTGAATTTGGGCGGCCACTGTGTCCAATCTAGTTGCCGTAAAAGGCCTCCCTCGACGTCCTAGTATTCTTAAGACCCTACTTTTTCATGACCTGTATGGAGAAGACGTTGACCACAACGATTTCGCCTTTGACCGCAACGATTTTGGGACCAAAGTTGGTCAAAAAGTGGTCGAATCTCGGAAATTTGCTGAATTTGCTGACTTTGGGCGGCCACTGTGTCCAATCTAGTTGCCGGAAAAGGCCTCCCTCGACGCCCTAGTATTCTTAAGACCCTACTCTTTCATGCCCTGTGTGGAGAAGACGTTGACCACAACGATTTCGCCTTTGACCGCAACGATTTTGGGACCAAAGTTGGTCAAAAAGTGGTCGAATCTCGGAAATTTGCTGATTTTGCTGACTTTGGGCGGCCACTGTGTCCAATCTAGTTGCCGCAAAAGGCCTCCCTCGACGCCCTAGTATTCTTAAGACCCTACTCTTTCATGTCCTGTATCGGGAAGGCTATTGACCGCAACTAGTTTGGGAGCGGTAGCCTCACAAAGTTGGTCATGCAGGGTAAAAACATAATGATGATCGGGGGCCTTTTGCGGTCTCATCCGCTGGGGCCTTTTGTGGGCCAGTCCGAGCCTGAAAATGTCGAGAGAGGAATATTAAGAAAAGAAAACCGCGTGGTTGTCCCACGGCAGCGTGTATTCCGAAACCGTCCCCTGCTCTCGCACACTCCCCTCTCGTAATGGCCATTACTGTCGATTCGAGCACAACGGGCGAGCGGTTTAACTTTTTTAGGGGCGGCGAGCCGCGTTTCAAATTGCCTCTCTGCCGTCAGCTGGAGTGGCGGGGTCGGGCGGCCGGCGCGGCCGACGACGCGAGGCGCGCCAAATGCCGCTGGAGGGCGCGAGCGAGCCTGGCCGCGAGCCCCGCCGCGGGGAGGCCCGGGGCGGACTGAATTCGCCGGAAAATGAGCCGGTTATTCACAGTCATATCAATGCGGTGGCGCCGCGGTGCCGCGGGGCGTTATTCGCAGACAGGCGCGGCGCGGCGAGGCGAGGCGTGACGGGGTGAAGGACTCGAGGGACGCCGCGGCCCCCCGCCACGCCACGCCACGCCGCGCCACGCCGCGCCACGCCACATTAAGGCGTCCACTTTCACTTGTTGAGCCGCTGGGGGCTGGCAGGGCTGGCAGGGCTGGCGGCGCTGGACGCAGCGCACTAAATGCCACCACTTTCGCCAGTCATTTGGCGGAATCCCGTTTGCGGCGGCACACTGCGCAGCTCCGCAATGCGGCCGGCCATCGGCCTTGCCATCGGCGACCGGCCGGATGGCGGCTGCGGTGCGCTTGCCTGACCCGCGTGCGTTGACGCGACGCGCGTGTCCCGCCGGTCGAAGTCATCGATTTTCCTCCTGACCAATGAATCCTTTAGGCCCGCCCGGCTAATTCGTTCTCGGAATCAGCGCGGCTCGGCGCGGCCGCACCGCCTGGCGTAGCCTGGCGTAGCCTGGCGTAGCCTGCTAGGCGGCGGAGCCGAGGCAAAGCGCCTGACGAACTGCGATAGGCAATCCGCCGCACTGCCGTCCCAGCGAGTTGCCTACCCAGCCGGGCGGCCCGCTGGAGCCGCTATTTACGAGCCCTGGGTTTTCGTTTTGTCCGTTGTTTTTGTCCGTGGTGCTCGGTCCCTGCTCGGCCTCGGCTGGCTGCCGCTCGATTCCGGTTGGAACCAAACAGGGGCTCTGGCAAGCTCGGCGCCCCGCCCTGGAGGCCCTGGAGGCCTCGTCTGCGCTGGCATGCGTGTTGTACTGCGTGCTGGACTGCGTGCTGGACTGCGTGTTGGACGGAGTGGGCATGGGCAATTTATGAGCGCTGTTTCTTGGAACGATAAAGTTTATTTACTCTTTACAGTGTTGGTGCTTGTTCCCTTGCGGCCGAAGGGTCTTGCGGCCTTCCAGTGATACGATGACCCCCCCTCTCACCCCCTCACACACACGCATACGCCTTCCCTCTCTCGACGCACAGCAGTTTATTCACTCAATCATAATATTTTTTTATTGTTTTGTCAATTGTTTTATTTATATTTTCAGTCGTCCGCCTTGCCAAGCAGCATGTCCAGCAGCTTGCCGCAGTCAATCCTCTTGCCCTTGTCGTCGAAGTAGAAGGACTCGTAGGCGTCCTTCACCTCCTTCAGGGTGAACTTGTCGCCCCAGGTCATGAGCCAGTGCTTCAGGCTGCAAACAGGACGAGCACACATGTACAGATGTACACTCACACACGCGCAAACGCAGACGTCATGTCAACGGCAGACCACCCCTTTGTGGGGGGCCTGTGTGACGCGAGCGACGAGTGAACAGGTGTACTTTAACGTACAGCAAAAATTGTTTCAGCTAAACGAATTAATTTTTTTGGGTGTTGCACAAAACAGTAATTGAAAAGCAACAAAATGGTCCATTCGTGAATTATTTCAAAATGTTACAAGTGCGGACTTACTTGTCTGCGTCAAGCCAGCCGTCAGGGTCTGAGAAGCACACGAAGGCCTGGATCACGGTGTCGTCGTCATCGTCAATGGGACCCCCTGCAAGACAACGATCGGACACAACAATTAGTTCAGTTAAACGTGAAAGTTCGTCGCTCTATTTTTTTTCTGTGTATTTCCCTCCGCGTGCCGAAGGTGGGCGCGTCCCTTCCGCCTGTCGCCGCCAGGCCAGGCCGCCTGTCTGCCTGAGTAACGTCTTGCGCACTGCGGCATGGATCCACGAATCCACACGGCCTGGCCCGCCTGGCCTGGCCGCGCGGACCCAGAGGGCCCCAAAGCACCCCGCCCCGCCGTGGCTTCGCAGCGCCGCTGCTCCACTCGCCCGGTCCAGGGCGGCCCAGGGCCGGTCGGTGTGTCTAAGTCTTCCTCGCGTCACGTCTGGTGTCTGGGTCAGAGCGATAGCCCGAGTAACCCCCTCCACTTTCCGCCAAGCCCTTTATCGACGGATTGCTCCCGTGATCGCACATTTGACCCTTTCCATTCCATGCGTCTCCTCTCCCTGGCTGCCCTAGCAGTGCCCTGGCTGTGCCAGCGCTGTCTGCCAGCACTGTCTGCCCGGCGGGGCGCTGGGCGGCCTCGCACCTCCACTCGCGCCGCAAGGTTGCTCAACCCGCCCCCCACTAGCCCCACCCCTTCACCCCGCTGAACCCAGCCTCCCTCATCAGCCCCTGCCGGCTCACAATCCCTCTCTAACAACTAAAAGCTCACGAGAAGGAGAAAGAGATAAAGAAAAACAGAGACACACACAAAGTTTTCTTTTTCTCCATCGACCCGACACACCTACCGAGGGAACCGAAAAAAAAGGGTTGGGCTTCTTCTGTTGATTGAACCGGGTGCGTACTCACCGCCTTGCTGTTTGCTGGCGAACAGCATGAGGAACTGCGTGAAGGTGCAGGGCAGCTGCTCGCCCTCGTCCGTCTCCGGCACCTCGGCCAGCATCTCGTCCAGCTCCTTCTCGGACACGATCTTGCCGACCATGTCGAAGGTGGCGCGGAGGTCGTTCTTGCCGAGGACGCCGTCCTTGTCCAGGTCCATCAAGGCGAAGGCCTGCGCAGAGAGCGGCCACAGTTAATGACAATTGGCGGAGTGACCGTAATGGCTGGTTGCCTGTAGCAGGGCAGGCAGCATGCGCCAGGCCCAGCCCCTCCCCCCACCTCTTTGAACTCGGCCACTTGGCTGTTGGTGAACAGCGAGAAGACATCGGAGCCCGCCCTGGAGCTGCGCCTCTTCTTGGAAGAGCTCTTGGACGACGGCCGCTTGATGGGTTCCGGTTCTGGCGGTCCGGCCGGTTCTGGAGGTGCCGCTGCCGCGGGGGGAGGAGTCTTCTCCTTCTGCGAATCTCCCTTCGCCTTCTTCTTCTTCTTCTTATCGGTCTTCTCAGACTGCGGGAGAGAGAGAGGGGGCATTAGTCATAGGGAATGAGGCACATTGCCAGTGCTTCCGGGAGGAAAGTGTTGGCGCGACTTGGGTACGAGTTTCCAGGCCCGCCAGGCCCTGGACGGGGACTGCCGTGCCGCCCCTCGGCAAGCCCCTCGGACTGGCATCCGGGACCCGGCGGCGCCACCGTCGCCAGTCCGTGGGTTCGCCCGGCTCGCCCCCACCCCCGTGTTTTGGTCTCGGTTACAGCTACAGCCGTGGACCGCAACCGCGACCGCTTTGACTGATTTGCTGGAACTTGACTTATATTTCGGACTGCACCGAGTTTCCCAGAGTCGAGTCAGCGCGGCGTGTTGCTTCGGATCGCTGACGCCGCACGCCGCAGCGCGCCGCAGCACCGCCGGGGAGGCCAAGGAAGCCCCCGTCTTCGTCGTCACGTACCTCCCCGTCCTGCCCTGCCCCACCCCGCCTGTCTGGCCGAGACGCCTCGCTGTGCCTGCCTGCCCTCGCACCCTAGCATTCAGGCCGGGCTAAACATAGCCGTCCCGTCTTCCCGTCCGTCGGCTCGCCCCCCCCCCCCTCCCCTCCCCTTTCACTTTCCCCGTCCTCTGGTGACCCGTTAAGTAGATGATGCGCGGTTACTAATCCTCCCTCGTTGTTCCTTGTTCGTTGTTTGGGGCGCGATGTACAGTGTGCCCCCCGCCCCCACCCCGCCCCGGCCGGTGGGCCTGCTCGACAAGCGGACCACGCGGTTGTGGCCAGTGGCGGCGCTGTGGACTCTGCGGCCGAGTAGTGCGCAAGGTCCACGGTCCGCCGTCCACCCCCAGTCCCACGGGCCGGGCCCCGAAGGACTGGACCCGAGGGGCACCCCGGCCCCGCCGCGGCCGGCCGCTTGGCCCTTAGGCCGCGTGGGGCCGTTTGCGGCCCTTCGCACACAACGTGGCGGCAGTAGGGTGAAGGTGTTACTACTGCCCGCGTCCGCGGTGGGGCCCTAGCCGGCCCGTTCAACGTCCGCCTTCCAAGTCTCCAGGGCCGCCGCCGCGCCGCCTGGAGCCCTCGCTGGAGCCCTGGAATCCGGTGGGAGCGCGGACGGGCAGCGCCAGCGAGCAGAGCGGAGCAGAGGGCACGGCGACGTCGAAGACGGCCCGCGCCTCGAACCCAGTGGAACGCCGCGGTACAGTGGAACACACGGCCCGAGCGGCGCAGTAGTAGCGCAGTAGCGCAGTAGCGCCCCTCCCTCCCGGCAGTGACGCTCCCTGGGCCAATTTTATCCCCGCCTTCCCCCGAGCGGGCCGGCCCGGCGTGGCCCGGCCGGGCGGGGAGCGGAGGGGGCACATTTGGCTCCTGCTGCCGCCATTGTCGACGGCGCCCTCCCCTCCCCCTCCTCCATGCCCCCCGTTTGGACCGTCTGATCCCGGTCGCCCGTCCGTCCCTTCGCGGGCCCTTCCCTTCCCTCCGGCCTTCTGCCCTCGCAGAGTCGCGGCATCGCAGCCCAAGTCGCAGCCCGCGCAGCCCGCCGGGGCCTCGTTGGCTTAGCAAGCGAGCCGTGCCTGGCCGTGCCTGGCCGTGCCCCGCGGTGCCCGCCGTTCAAGCAAAGGCCAGCCCGGCCCGGCGCGGCAGAGGGGCCTCCGTGGGCTTGTTACCGTTGCGTCACATCATCATATCCGCATTGTGAAATTATCTGCAACTCCCCGCGCGCCCCTCCGACCCTCCGACCCTCCGGACGGCCCGTCCCCGGCGTCCCTACGGACTCACTACAGAGCCTACTAGCCTGGGCTGCTACTGCAGTGCAGAGCGTTAGCTACAACGCCCCTCCCCCTCCCTCCCCCTCGGGGGGCACCCCCACCCCTTCCGCCGCCCCAAATGCAAAAGGAAACGGAAACAAAGCCATACCATCCCATTCGACGGAGCGATAACGTCAATCTCTTAGTCTACAACTCTGGCGGGCCGTAAATGAAGCGAAAGGGGTGGGGGGAGAAGGATCGCCCCGTTATGGCCGGAACACGGCGAGGCCGAGGCGTCCATCGCGGGTACAGTGTAGGGGTGTGTATTAGCCGCGGAACGCAGTGCAGTCTGTCCGCGCACAGCAGGCCGGGATCGGCCAAAAGACCGCGAGCGGTTCGCCTGGTCATTCGAGTGGCAATGCAGCAAGTGGATTGACGAGACTCGACAGACAGACCGAGCCCGCCCGGGGCCAGGGGGAGCAGAAATGTCAAAACGGTGTGTCAGCATGACCTCGGAACGAGCAATTGCACGCGGGAACGGGAAATGAGTTGATTTTGGCCGTCCCGTTCTCCTTGGATGGTCTCCTCCTCCTCTCCCCGGACCCATTCCACTGCACACTGATTCAGAGAGTCGTTCTCATCGCGCTGTCTCTCTCGCACCCATGGGGCGTTTCGTACAGGTGCGAGAGAGACAGCGCGACGGAAAGGACTCTCGGAATCATTGCACTGTGCGGCGTGGCTCCGGTTTCGCGGCGGTCGCGCTCTACTCGGACTCGCAGAGGATCCCCTCGCCCGACGCCAAGTTTGAGGCGGCACTTTCAAGGCGTGCGCGCCGTGCTCGCCGTCGTTGCCGATCGATGGGCCAATCATCGCCCGGCGAATTATCCGGCCGAATGGAATTACCGGGCGATTCCAGGTTCCAGGCCATGGCAGGGACGGCATGCCATTCCTACGGTGGCGCGGCGGCGCGGCGGCGCGGCGCAAGGCGTATTGCCGTGCTAATCCAGGAATGTGCTTCCCCCTGCAGGCCCTGCAGGCTCGTTCCGAAACGGCGCTCCGTGACTCCGTCTCTCTCGCGCCCGTCGGGGACGTCTCGTGAGTGCGAGAGAGACAGGGCGACGACAGGGTTCGGAATCGGCCTGCTGGCGGTCCGCGGGGCGGCGCGGCGAGTCACTTGATGTAACGGGATCTTGGCGCGGCGCCAGCGGCGGCCGGGGGCGGCCGGGGGCGGCAGGGGGCGGCAGGGACGAAGAAGGGGGTGGGATCCATGAAAAGCGCGTGGGCAGAAGGGGGGGGGGCAACATTCGAGGAGACGCGGCGCCGGAAGCCCGAGCCGAGCCACAGGCGCAGCGCGCAGCACGGAGCAATCTGCTGATTAACGTTCCCTATTCGTGGTCAACGCCTGAAAGCAGGAAGCTGAAAGCCGCAACAATACAACGCAGCTGAGGAAAGCTAATTTTGTTTCGCATCAATCATGGCGAAGCAAGGCCCTCTCAAATACTGTCCCTACAATCTTGTCGTATTCTCGAAATTTATTGTATGTATCTCATGGGTATCTTGTCGAATTTCTTTCGTTTTCTGGAGAAAATCTCCAGCATACCGTCTTTCGCCGCAAGACGTTTAGAGTGCACAGAGCACAGTCCGAGTCAGCAGACCCCTGCAGAATACCAAATGCCCCGCATGTTTCTCGTTCTTGTCTCCGAGTCGAGAACAGGACCACCAAGCAGCGACGGGCGACATCCCGGCGTAAGCGCACGGCGCAGGGTCGCGCATACCCCGCGTTCTCAAAGAACTCCCCGCGGGGTATCTCCAAACATAGTCCGGTGGCGCGCCGGCCGCGCGCGTTTGAACCGCGGCGCGTGTGCCGTCCAGGCAGCATCCCGGCAGAGGACAAAGAATGCTGCTGAGGCCATCGCGGCCGTGCCCAGGGACGATGCAGGTGACCGCTGGTCCACAGGGGGCAAACTCTAGCCGCACCACAGCGTGGAATTCCCTTATTTTCTCACACTTTAGGCGAGCTCCACTCGACTCACCATGGTGTTGTTGGTGTTGGTGAGTTGCTCCGGCCGGTGAAGGTGTCTTCGGCCCACTGAGGAGGGTGGCTTGTCGGTCAGGCCAGTTAACAGCTCGGCCCCCTCCCCTCCGCGGGTCCAGCCGGCCAATCAGCTTCGTTGCAATCCGCTGTACAGTCCGCACTGCAAGTAGCTGTCGATGCGCACCGCGGTCCGACCCGATGACACCCCGGCTGCCCCCGGCGCCGAAAGGGTACACCGCGGACGACGCGGAGCGGCAACCGCGGCACTGAACAGCACCCGCTCGGCGGGGCCGCGGTTTGGCGGCCGGCCTGGAGGCGCCTCCGGCGTCCGGGCCTTCCCCGTGCCCATCAAGAGCCTTCCCTCGCCTTCCCCCGTCGCCCCGACGGCGTCCTGGCCACGGCTGTACCTGGTGGGGGCCAGGAATGCCCCCTTCCCCCGATCAGGCCCCGATCAAGCCCCGCCCCCCAACGACGTGACGCCTATGGCAACGGCCCACGGCGGCATTGGATTCCAGGGCGTCTTTTCCTGGCGACGGGGTGCAAAGGTCGGCGTCGTCCGCCGCAGTCCGCCGGCCGTCTAGAGTCGCCGCACCGTGCACGCCGGCCTGGGGCTGGCAGGGCTGGCAGGTGGGGCCAGGCACGACTCCTCAAGACAGCGCACTTGACGAGCATCGTGACCGTGACGTCACCAAGACAGCGCCCGGCGCCTGCCTCTAATCGGAGGTAAAGTATACCACTAACGAACCTCAGGCTCCTCGGTACTGTATCGAGGACTTTATGCTCTTTGGCAAAAGCCAGTGGTAGATGGGAATAACATACACAAGTTTCGCTTCAAAAAAATACTCTTTAATTAAAACACAAGAAAAATAGAATAACAACACAGAAAGAAACTTTCAAAAAATACAACGTCTTAGGAACTGGTAAATATCTATACAAACTAAATTGAACAGTCTTATTTTTGGTACAAAGTGCATCTGTTTTACAGCTGATGCAGCTGCAAAACAAAATAGTACAACATAGATAGATCTAAAAAAATAAATTATACCGTAAAACAAAAAATACTTAGTTGAAATGGTAGTTAAATTGATCTCCATACTTATCCCTGAACCGTTTTCTATCAAGCTTGTCTAAATCAGAAGCAACTCTCCTCATAGAAGACCTACAATCATAAAGCAGCATTTTAACACAAATATCACATAGGTGGGTTATCACTGCAATGGAGATAATTATACTTACTTTTCAAAAACTTTCTTGGAGAGCCTACTGTATGTAGTGTTATGAATTGCTTTGACATCAGTGAGGCCGACATATTTTTTCTGCTCTCCTGGAGGATGTTTCCGCCACCCTCTTTTGCTTTTATCTGGCATTTGCAAATCAACTCCCGTCGACTCCTTCAAACAAACAAACAAAAATCAATCAGGATTTCTTTCTTCTTCTACTGAAAAAACTTTAAGTAAAATATACTGACTTTTAGTTCTGCAAGAAGTTTTGGGTCCTGCCAATCAGGCACTTGATTTGCTTTTTCTAGTTGTAAGCGCTCTTCCTCAGCCTGCAGATCTTCTTTGCTACTTGGCTTTCCATTTTTATCTCTTCCAATAACTTTGCCATGAAAGGGGCACTGAGATGTTCAATAAGAAATTGAGACGATTATTAATATATGAAGAACATTGCAGTGAATGTAAAGTGCAGTACTCATGGCCAGTATTATTTACCTTTACTCTATCCTGTCTAGGGCACAACTTTCCACTTGGTAAAGGGGCTCGGCAAGTCCACTCCACTCTTTCAAAGTTACCTGAAAACTCAATAACTCGGGTCCGAATGCTTGCCTCACCATCTGGATCACGAATTTCGTCTCTTTCCTCAGCAGTTGACACCCAGAATCGATGGCCGTCTGGTTTAACTCTGAAATAAGCACAAGCATAAAATAGTACTTAATTTTATTTTTTAATATTTATGCAGAGTAGCTATAAGTAAGAATATTCTTACGTCAACAAAGTGGGAGCTTCTACTTTCTCATCTTCCCAGTGGTAAAGATCAATGTCAAATGGTAACTTTGGAGCAATAGACAGTAATTTGGCTTTCCTTATATCCTCACTAGAAGTGTGTTTGCTACAGGATGGTTCAGAGTCCATAGAGCAAGAGGATACTTTATCACCACTATTTGATTTTTTAGGTGATGTGGATTCAGTACTGTCCATTGGTAGCTCCACAGCAGTAGCTGAAGTTTTGTTTGATATTGATGATAAAGTTGAAAAAATGGAAGTGGGATCCTAGATACAAAATAAAATAATATTCAAAAAATTGACAAAATACACCATAATCGAAATGACATACTTGCACACTATGTACATACCTTTTCATTATTTTCTTCTGACACAAGGCTCCAATCCTTTTTAGGGCCATGCTGACGATGCTGATTTTTGTGTGATGGACCAGCCTTATCTTTGCCCTCAAGACTGGTTGGTTTTATAGCAGAAGACTTACAGAAGGCTTCAAATCCTTCCTTGTTTTCCACTTCTTCAAAGTCAGAATCTGATGTTTCACTATCATCTGAAGTAGAAACATTACTCGATAAGATAAACTTAAGAAATATCTTAAGCAGATGTGACCCTACCGAAATTGCATTTCAGCTCACCACTTGTTTTTCTATCACGCTTCGTGGTAATAACATCCAAATTGAGTCTCTTGTATTTATCAAGGATCATCTCTACACGAAGCTTCAGGTCACTGACTTTCTTGACAATCTCATTTACTGTGGACACTTCTAAGTCTGAAAGAAGTTGAATCGTGACCTTTACAAAAAATGTGAACACATTTTATCAGTAGGTGCAATTAGAGCAGAGATGCATTTCTAACAAACCTGAACATTTTTCTAGAATAGTTTCCCATTTCTCTATACATGGATGGTAGCGATTTGAAACAACTCTAAATAAATCTTGAGCACTATCAATAATTGGAGCATTTTCTTCAGTTTTCTTCACCAAAGGATCACTTCCTACAGAAAAATAAACAAACTTTCAATAATTATATGCAGGACTATCAAAATTACAGTAGCAGTATGTTTTAATGTGTACCGGGGTCAACTTTCAGTGTTATGCTGAAATGGGGATTTATTATTCCGTACTTTCGAAAATCAAAGATTGGATGTTTGGTAGAGCAATTTTCTTCTTCTTCTTCACTGTCGGAGGAAGAACTTTGTTCATCTTTGGGACTGTGAATCTCATCAGCAGTTTTATCCAGGCTACTTTGGTTTGCTGATGATCCACATACTTTTTCTTTACCACTCTCAACATTAGCACTATCTGTATCATTTTCAATGAAAAAATCTTCTGGTCGTGGTAGCAATAAGCCTATACAATTTTCCATCTCTGTTAACGCATTGATAATATCAGGTTGTTTGTCTGAATTAGAAAGAAAGCATTAGAAAAAGAACTCTAAAAATATGAGCAATACAAAGAATGTGTATTCCAAACTAATACCATTTAATTCATCCACAACTTTCTTGAAACGCTCATTTTGCAAACGTTGTTTCCTCCGTTTCAGTTCATTCTGCCGGCCAAGTTCAGCAGCCTCTTCCAAAGCCATTGCATTAAGGTCAACTTTCTTGCAGTTTTTCAGAAAAGAAATGCCTAAGTTCAGTTTCTTGTATCCACTGCCATAGTTCTTGGCCCAATCACGGATGGTAGTAAGAGCTAATTTCTTAAGTGATAGAGCAGTTGAACGAGGACGAGGCATAGGTTTAGCAGCATCTGTTTCAGCAGTTAGGACCATAACTTTTTCTAAATTTGAAACTAACAATTCACGAAAGCAATGAGAACGCCTGAAATTCAATAAATTAATATAAAAAACTGCACCAACAATTTTAATTGAAAACAATGAATCACAAGAAAACAAACCTACTTGAAAAGTTCAATGCAAATTTGAAAAGAACTGTAGCGTACTTCGGAATGGTTAGCTTCAAGGTGTTTCATGAGCAAGTTATACGCAAGTATAACATAATCATTAGACAGTCTGCAAAACGAAAGAACAGATCCAATAAATGGAGTTTCAGTAAAATCACATTTTAAAACTAAAATTGCCTTAATAAAATGTCTGACTTACTTGCAAATCTTGGTGACACCTTTTAACACTGGTGGATCTAAGACTTTCTCACCTGTAGAGGTAAGTGTTGCAATCAACTTTTTTAATTCTTTACAATGATCCTCAGAGTATTTAGATGGAGAAAAAGCCATTATTTCTTGTAAAGTAGTTAAAAGGAGATAAACAGAGGCAGGTGGGGAGGAATGAATGAACTGTCACTGGAGTACAAAACTTCCAAACAATTCCTAAATTTGCAGCGCAGAGTTTTTCATACCTTTCTTACGGGTGACGAGTGGAGAGCCTATGAGAATTACAACATCCTTGAGTGGCGAGGAGAGGGGGGGGGGGAGGCTGTGCGGTGTAAACAAACAAACCCCTCACTGGTAAAGGATATTTCATTGTCAAACAATCGTGTTTGAGTATTTGAGTGTATTTGATTATGTTTTTCTATGTTTTCAGGTATATGTTTGGCATACAAGGACAGAAGCACCAAAACTCTCTGGTGAAATGCAGCTTCGAAAGAAAAATATGAGATCTGATAAAGATATGGAGGTTTGAATCTTTTGATATTTCTTTGTCACTTTTAAACTATGAAAGAGATTTCTATTTCTTTGTCAATGATAGATGAGGGTTTGGAGGTCTATATCTTTTCTGTACTGATCCTTGAGAAGCTTAGAATTAATGTACAGTATTTATGTGTAGTAAGTTGTTCACATATTTATATGACTTTTTTAAAAGATTTTGTTTGTTGCTGTTAACTCTCAAGTTAATGTTGTCATTCTTTGCTCAAGAGTTACTCAAACTCAATGTTAGCAGTTCCTCTATAAATCATTGCATGGAGCAGAATTCTGCTCTGTGATCATTGGTGATGCTTGAAAGGAGTGTCATTCAATAAATAAAAAGCAATATTTTAACGTTAAAAAGAAACCCAGGGTTTTATGTATTATCATGTACACAGTACACACACATCCACAAAACACTGTCCACAAAATCACAGATTGAGATTATTATAACTATATCTAAATGAGCTCATCCAACTTCCCACACATACCACAGATGTTAATCTTGGGTTTGCTTTAATTCAAAGTACAGCCTTATATTTGGTAAAATTTGGGTTCATCCTCACATTTGACACAAATGTTACAAGAAAGAAGTGTTCAAGATTCATTCATTAGGTGAGACTTGACTTGGCAATTACGCACACATGAAGAAGAAGTACAATAATAATGGTGAGATAAAACAAAAGCTCAGCTTATTAAAAACCTTATACACTTGTCACACAGACACATTTGGTTTGGGTATTTGGAGAAACTATAACATTCACTAGTAAAACTCAGAGTCCTCAGATCGATCGGACTGATCACCACCAGAAGGAGACTGCAGTTGCTCAGGGCAGAGATCTGTAATTTCTGAGCATAGGGAAAAAAGAAGAAAGAAACATCACTACATTACACAGTCAATATTGAGCAAATATTGTCACATTATCTGACAAGTCAAATTGGTCAAGTATCAAAACTAATCATAAAATTTGACACTTACCCTTTTGCTCATGGTTGTTTAGAATTCTTAGAGGCACCAGTGCAGAAAAAGAGGGTGATGTTGCTAAGATGAGAGCAAGGCACTGGGCCACATTGAGGTTGGGGGCACATGCTAAAACAGGACTAAGGCCACAGGCATCCACAGCCACCACAGAAGCTCCTTTTTCCAGCAGGGCTTGTGTAACAGATACAAGCCCATGTTTGGCAGACAAGTGCAATGGACTGATAACAAAAAGGAAACAGATTAAAATTTGTATTCAAATAATTTAAAAAAATTGGTATTGATGCAAAAGTTGACATTCAAATAGGGAAAAACTCACGTCCGTAATTCCCTATTTGCCATATTGACTACTGTGTGTTCAGGGTTTGGCATATTTTCTAACAACAAAAGGGCAGTGCTTGTATGCCGCCTCTCACAAGCAAGATGGAGAGCAGTATTTCCTTCATTGTCCCAGGCCTTTACATCTGCTCCGCAACTTAAAAGAATTTCTTTAAAAAAAAAAAGAAAGAAACATTCCATAAACATTATTTTGATGGATAGGCAACCTACTTTTGACTCCAGGAAAGACTGATGAACTGGTACATACCAATGGCACAAAGGTGTCCATTTTGAGCTGCACATAAAAGTGGTGTTTTTCCATTGGTATCCCTAGCTTCAAATGAAGCATTTTGCTGCAAAAGCATTTTCATGCAGGCAGCATTATTGTGTGCTGCAGCTAGGTGGAGAGGTGTTCTTCCTAAAGCATCTCTCAAATGAACAACTTTGCTACCAAATGTGCCCATGAGCAGCTCCAAGCAAGTTCTGCTACCATGATACCTGTCAGGGAAAGCCAACTTATAGAGCCCTTCTTTTTATTACATCATAAAAATAAAAGAGTAAACTCAAATTGAGAAACTTACGATGCACAGTGAACAGGCGAAAAGGGGTTTCCTTTCATAGATGTGATGAATGAAGACTGCAACAAGTATTCCACACAGTTTGCACGTCCTAAAATTTTCAACAAAATTGATTATTATTATTATTATTAAAATATAAAATGAAAATGCATTCAAAGCATCAGTCAGTCATTTACCATTGTACGCAGCCCAGTGGAGTGCAGAACATTGTTGACCATCCAGGAGTGTATCAAGTGAAACACTAGCAGAATGGCATGCCTGAGCCAGGATTGTGAGACAGTCCAGATGCCCCATTGCAGCTGCCAGATGGACAGCCGTTTTCCCTTTCTTGTCTTGCCAAGTAACATTTGCACCCGCCTGAACCAGCAGTGTCACCACATCACTGCTTCCATTCACAACAGCTCGAAACAAAGGAGGGTGTAAATCTTCATCGACCAAATTGATACTCGCTCCATACTTTATGAGCATGTTCACGCACTTAACATGCCCCAAACCCACACTCATCATCAGGGGAGTTCTGCCATAAAAGTAAATATGTTAAGGAAATTTTTAAAAATATATCACCAATAGGAAAAATTAAGTTACCTTTTTTGACTGTCAATAGCATCAACAACGGCTTTGTTTTCACAATTATTAAGAAGTAGTTGAATACAGTCTTCATTCCCTGATGCTGCAGCAGCATGGACAGGTGTGCGTTTGGTTCTTAAATCATGTACTAATACCTGTGCTCCACATCGTAGCAAAAGTTCTACACACTTGTAATGTCCTTAACACACAGAAAGGACAGGAGACTATTAGGGGGGGAAAAAAGGCAGATAACAATGACATGCAACTACATTACTCTAGTAAAAAGATACCTTTATAAGCTGCTAAATCTAAAGGCGTTCTTCCATTATGTTCCCTCACATTATAATTGCTAAAAAATGGAAGCAATAACTTTAAAATTTCATGGTGACCATAATAAGCAGCCAAATGAAGTGGGGTGAGCCTAGGCATATCATCAGTCTGAAAATCCATTGGGGTAAGCACGGAGAGTAGTTTTTCTAATCCAACTTGATTGCCTCCTTCAACAGCATAATGCACAGCTGTAAAACCTTGGGAATCTCTTAGAATAGGATTGGCATTATGCTGGAGGAGGTATTCCACACAGTTGCCTTCAGTATCACATTTGGCAGCCAGGTGTAATGCTGAACAGCCGAGTTTATCCTGCTGATTAACCCTAGCTCCCTGGCCAACCAAGGTGAGGAGACAAGAAAACTGGCCCTGCTCAGCAGCATAGTGTAGGGGTGTGCGCATGTGAGCATCAGGCACTTGGAAAGCGGCACCACTGCTAACCAACAGGTCTAAGCAGTCAACACTCCTGGAAAAAATAACTCACATATAAGTTTGCATTCACAGAATAAGTCAATTTCAAAAGAAGATATCAAAGTATACCCTCTATGAGCGGCAAGATGGAGTGGAGTCTTCATAGTGTGATCAAGTGCATCTAGATCTACTCCTGTTTGGAGAATTTTTCTGCAGCATTCAACATATCCTCCAAGACAGCACATGTGCAGTGGCGTACGACCTAGATGTAAGACACATTTCCAATATAAATTTTGGAATGAGCACAGAAAGAGACTCAAAGGGAGAAAAAGTTTACCTTGATAACCAGGTTTCCTAGGATCAGCACCCACTGAAAGAAGCGTTCCTGTCAAGATGTCATGGCCATACAGAGCAGCAATGTGTAAGGCTGTGCATCCATTTTTGTCCTCTTTGTCCACCTCAGCACCAGCATCAATAAGAATCTTTGAACAAGTAAACCTTCCATAGTGGCAAGTCATGTGAAGAGGTGTTCTACCATCATCACTCTGGGCATTAATATCTGCACCTTTAAGTAAAAGCTGTTCCATGCACTCTTTTCCATCAGTCGAAGCAGCAGCAATGTGCAATGGTGTCTGCAAGTATCAGATGCGATCAAATCAAAAATAATTAGTAAAATAACAATAGTAGAGATAATAGTAATAATAATAATTGCTATTTACCTGCCCCCTAAAATTGATGGCATTTATGTTTGCATTTCTGTACAGCAACTCTACACAAACACTCTTGTGTCCATTTAAACAAGCAATATGTAATGGAGTATTCCCATAACAGTTCATTTCATCAACAACAGCATCATTTTGTAACAACAAATCCACAACTCCAGAATGACCTCTAGCTGCAGCAGCATGAAGAGGTGTATATTTCTGCAAACAGTGTTCCAGAGAAAATAGGTTTCAGTGTTCGAGAAACAAGAAAGAGGTGAGAAAGGACACAACCAACTGTACTTACATTTTTATCTCTAGCATTCACATCAGCAGACTTTTGAAGGAGAGTCCAAACTACATCTTCATGCCCCATAAATGCAGCCCAGTGCAAAGCTGTGCGCTCCTTTTTGTCTCGGGTATTTACAGCACAACCAAAACTCACAAGACATAAAACCATCTGGAAAGAGTTGTATACATAATACACAGTATAAGTATTTCCCTTTGATTTTCACACTCCACTGTTACATAGTTTGATTATTCCAAGAAAATCGACATACATCATTGTGATTACAGTAAGCAGCATGGTGCAGACCAGTGCGTCCACTACGATCCGTAATATTAACATTTGTCAGTTCTGGAAAAAGGTGAGTAGCACTTTGCATCGCATTGTTGGCAGCTGCGATGTGTAAAGGCGTTTGCCAGTGTCTATCTCTGGCATTAACATTAGCTTTGTACTTGAGCAAAATTCCAACAGTCTCCTGTAAAACAGAACATCATATATAACTTTGTCATTTTCACAAGGCTTTTAGTTTGGGTCAGATAAGTGAAATTAACTGAAGAAAGTTTACTCACTCCACTATCATTGCAACAGGCTCTGTGTAAAGGAGTGAGCCATCGTGAATCTTTCGGATCCACTCGGGCCCCATGCGCTATTAATTTTTCAGCTATTTCAGGCTCATTTTGATATGCTGCGGCATGAAGAGGACTTCGTCGTTCTCTATCTAAGTGATTAACATCATCCTGATTGGCTAAGAGGGTCTCCACAAGAGACAAATTTCGAGAAAATATTGCTTGAATAAGTGGCGGCTGTAACAGTAACAAGATTAGACATTGGAAAACAGAAAATGATGAGAACACACTGATGGTAAAGAAATGTGTTGATAAAAAAATATGCCACAGCTAACCTCGTCATTCAGTTCCTGAACTTGAATTACCATAGTGTATGCTTAGGTTATTAATCTGAAAATAAAGAGAGCATGAGATCGCAGGGAAACAGCAACATCGGTCAGCAAAGGCGTGCGAGCAAGGACTATTCATTGAGTGGGAGTGGCACAAATGAATTTAGAGGGAAAAGTTTCTGATGCATGAAAACACGATCAAAATGGGGATAGTTGAAAGCTATGATTTGTGGCAAGTCATACACGCATTTTGAGGTTCAATAATTAGTATTTTCTTGGTAAACCCAGTAAAACCTAACCTATATTTGCTGCACTTTCGCTGTCACAAGGAAGTAAACAATGCCCTCGAATAGGACAGTGAAAAAGGATTTAAGAAAATATAAACGTCAGTCAAAGATTGAAGGCATAAAATGGGATATAAAAACTGGACATATCTATAGGAACATATTTAGCTTGTTGCCATTCCAAAAAACGTTCCCTTTATTACTATTATGGTAAACAAACAAAGGTTAAGGGGTTCGCAGTTCCTGATCCGCGCACTCACTAACCTTCGGTGGCCCTCGAAATTGATTCGGCTACAACCTTTCTGATAATGTGAGAGGGTAAAAAGATGCAATAATTTCTTCTTCAAGTTGAAATGATGCATTTCAACCCCACCATCAGTAGCCGCATGCGAGCTTTCATTTGAACCACGCGCCAATTTCTGTTCTGTTGTCCACATCTAGAAGGCAATGAAAACACGACGCGGTCTCCGCCTGCTCGTAACGCTTGTTTTTGAAAGCGAGGGACTTGAGCGTAAAGTTTGGAGCTCGTTTTTTTTTAAATTTTTGAAAATTATGAATGAAGATGGAGATGATAGGGATTCAATTTGTGACTCACCGGTAAGTTTGAATTAAACACTTCAAATTTCGGACGTCAGTCTTGTGCGGTGCTATTAAATTGTCCTGAATGTAGGTGTCAAAATCAAGCCTAGGCAGGGGTTTGTCACATAACCTCAATTAGCGGTTGTTTTTCTTGAAATTGAACCATTTTTAAGCCTGTTTTAAAGGAAGTACATGAAAATTTTATGTTGCCACGTTTGACTTGACCTGTAGACATTATAGTTGTGTTAGCGGTCTCATCATGAAAACATCATCTTCAATGCATCTATCTGTGCACAACTGTGCACTTCACTTGTCATTTTCATTCATTTGTCTAATGTTAATGGCAGTTTGTATGGTTTTACAATGTCTGTCTCCTTTAATTGTTTCATTAAAATCTCTTGTATGTGTGTACAGGCGGACCTTGTTGAAGGATGTCGATTACCTGTTCGCATGGGAGGAAGCGAAGATTGGCGTAAGTTAAATGTCATGTAGATTAATGTTTGTTTTCCTGATTGTTTGTTCATTTATCCTTAGTTTTCTTCTGTGATTATATTTTATGTTAAGTAATCCTTTCATACTTTTAGGAAATTGGAAATAAAGTATTGTATTTTTGGTGTTTACAGCTCTTGCCGAAATCATAAGCGTAAGGGGATCATCTTCAAAAGATTTCTCATTTTATGTTCATTATGTTGATTGTAAGTTCACATTTTTTAAAGGAAATTGTGATTTGTAATTTTTTTGTGGTCTAAATACTTGTTTATTTTCTGTTCAGTTAACAAGCGGTTAGATGAATGGGTCTCTGTAGATCGGTTAGACACACGAAAAGTACAATATCCTAGAAGAGATGGACAACCTGGAACTGGAGTTAACACTCCTAAAAAGACTAGTAAGTGTAATTCCATGTAGTTTTGGAGAGAAAATGCAATTTACTTTTTTAGTACGAGTTGTTATTAATCCTTAATTCAATTTCAGGCATACTTGGGACAAATAGTATAGGATCATCTTCAAGGCCCACCTCACCTGTCAGTGACCCTCTAACAAATGGCGGTGGAGCTGCACTTGCTGCAGCTTTGCAGAAAAAAATTGTACACAAACGGAAAAAAACTATTGAAAGTGACACTCCGCCAACACCAACTATTACTTTACCTTCAATGATCGATGAAGATAGGTTACCATCAACGCCAACTAATCACAAGATTCCAAAACTTCAGGTAAATTCTGTTTTAGATTCAAAATATCTGCTAACTTTCCTTACTATTCTCTATAAGTAAATTTTTAATGATGCTGACTAATAATTCCACAGCCTCAAACTCCAGAACCAACTAAAGAAGATCAGCCACCTAGACTAACAGGTAGTATGGTTGCCCATAATGATGATGTAGTAACACGAATGAAAAATGTTCAAATGATTGAACTTGGTGTACATCGAATTCGACCTTGGTATTTTTCTCCATATCCCCAGGTATATTTAAAACTTAAATTTTTTCATCCCTGTTGTCATGTTTAAATCACTGGCTCTCATTGGCTTTCCTTTTATTTGCAGGAGCTTGTCTCTTTATCTTGCATCTACATATGTGAATTTTGTCTAAAGTATAGAAAAAGTAGGAAGTGTTTAGAAAGGCACCTTGTAAGTTCCTTTCTTCTTCATTCTTCTGCAATGTTGCATTTTTTATTGTTCATGATTTTACTTGGTCTGTAATTTAGATTTTTATGAAATATATTTCTTTTTAATCAGGTTAAGTGCAATGTCCGACATCCTCCAGGTAATGAAATCTATAGGAAAAATAGCATATCATTTTTTGAAATTGATGGAAGAAAAAATAAAGCATATGCTCAGGTATTGTTGCTTCTGTTTTATATCTTAGAAAATATTTTTGTGTTTGGGTTGAAAATATTTCATGATCTTCCACATTTCCAGAACCTCTGCCTACTTGCCAAGCTCTTTCTTGACCACAAAACCCTCTATTATGATACAGATCCATTTCTATTTTATGTAATGACAGACTTGGATACAAGAGGGTTCCACATTGTTGGTTATTTTAGCAAGGAAAAGGAATCTACAGAGGATTACAATGTTGCCTGCATACTTACAATGCCACCGTATCAACGAAAAGGATATGGAAAACTGCTCATTGAATTTAGTCAGTAACTAGTATTCACAAATTTGATCTATGTTCTTAGACTGTCTTGAGGTTTCTTAATTTGAATGTGTTTTCCATTGCAGGTTATGAATTGTCAAAGTTTGAGGGGAAAACAGGATCACCAGAGAAACCACTTTCAGATTTGGGCCTTCTCTCTTACCGGTCATATTGGGCAAATACTATTCTTGACATTTTAATATCTATCAAACCTACAGGCGATAATGAGAAACCACAAATTACAATTAAGTGCGTGTTGTTCCTCTTGAAAATCAGTGAAATGAGTTTTTCATGTGATTCTGATGTGATTTTCTTTCCCCTTCAGTGAAATATGTGAGTTGACAAGTATCAAAAAAGAAGATGTCATTTCAACCTTACAAAACTTGAACTTAATTAATTATTACAAAGGCCAGTACATAATTACTCTGACTGAAGAAATGGTCCAACAACATAATTCAGCAATGGACAAAAGAAAGATACGAATTGACCCTAAATGTTTGCATTGGACTCCCAAAGACTGGTCAAAGCGTTCAAAGTGGTAATGTAGTTTTCATTTTTTACTCTTAGTTTGCATGATTATTAATTTTCAATTGTTTGGATTCTGGGCCCCCAGTTCCTCTTTGGCACTCATAGCCATTTTAGCTTTGTTTCTTTCTGTCTCCTTTGCAGAAATTTTTGATAACTTACTTGCTGTTAGTACACATATTTTTTTTCTAATACAAGCCTTGTTTACTTTTGGCAGAATCCCATCGGCCTAATAGCAGTTCGCAACTTGTGTAAGTCCTGGACCTTACTAGGAGAAGTCTCTCGTGATAAGTTTGGTTGTACATATTGCCAGAAGAAGCAGTCTTGGAAAGGTTTTCATTGTTATAAAATGTATATTAACATGGTTTGGTAATTTGCTTGCCAGACCAATCATTGTGCAATTCATTTGAATTTTTTAAGTCAAGAAGAAATCAAATTTTAGAATGAAATGTGTTCCCCAAAAGATAACTGGGGCTATTGATTATGATAATTGTGATATTTATGTTGTGACTGATCAATTTTTGTGTGGCTACTAAGTGGCATAGAAGTTGCTCCTGATTGTACATAATGGACAGAATAAATACTTTGTAAGCAAAACAACACTTTTATTGAATTGGGAAAATTTTGTATTTATCTTTTGCTTTTGAATCAGAGGAAAAGCAAATAAAATGAAATCAATAAATAACAATTAAATAAAAATAATCAAGGATGGGCAAACTGCTCTTGACAATAACAGGAATCTTGACTTACAGTTGCATCAAAGTTACTTTCACACAAGTGGCAGGCGGCTGGCAACCTCTCCATTGTCAGCAATTGTACAAGAGACCATAGACACAACAGGCTGACGGCGATCTTTAGATGCCTTGAGTACTAGGACTCTTGCAGCACACCTCTCAAGGATAAAGTTACATGACAACACGGACTTTTGATTGTGTGACATTGCATCAAACTGTGCCACCTGCAAAACACTAACATGCATCAGTCAAGTGTTCAAATATATATTCTCAACAATAAGTAGGCCACTTTTACTTACTGAACAGCCAAGAACTGCCTCAGCAGCTTCAGCAGTAAGGCGGCAGTTCTTCAGAGTTCCAGTATGATCAGACAAACTGATTCGAATATTAAACGTCCTTTTTGGTATGAAAATGTCTATTCCTTGCTCAACTGGACATTCTGGATTTGAGCAGGAGTTTCCACTGGATGACAGTGAGTTGCAAGAAGTGCTATATAGGGCACAAGAAGCACATCATCTTTAAGAACTCTTTAATCTAGACAAAATATTGAAAGAAATTGAAGAACAAGTACCCACCACTTTATCAATAGAACATTTTCATGATGTAAATCAAGGTGTGTAATTTTACTGTATACCAGCGCTGTGAACTGCTGTTCCTCATTTGACATAGTGATGTTTAAATCAGCCCAAGCTCGAGAAAGGATTGACCTCACAGACATCACATTCCTTATACTTCCAACTAATCAAAAATACCAAATTATTTTGCATTCCTTAAAATGACACAAGTAAATTATTTGGCTACCAACTGAGAAGACATACCATCTACTAAATTGCTTGCTAGATGGTCAATAATTGCTGTTGCATGTAAAGGAGCTGCTCTAGCATATACACTCAGACATTCCGCTTCCGGTGTTTGTGGACCAACAGTAATAACTGTCCTTGAAGTAACTTCAGGAACACATGCTTCGCGACTCATGTCCCACTTCATTTTGATGTCAGCCATAAAAAGAACTGAAAAGAAAGAAATATTTTCTTGACTGGATTTGTTTGAGAATAATTACTTGAGTAAAATAAAATACAAAATTTATTACTTGTTTCTCTTGGCTTCCACTGCGAAGCTTGATAATTAATTTCTTTGTCCCACAACTGAATTGACACACCACTGCTCGTTTGATCAAATACAACCACTTCCCGCAACTCATATTGTTGACCATTTCGCCCTTTTAACTGTCGGGCCCTCTGAACCTACAAAGATTTCAACAAATAGGAGAGTCTTTATAAATTCTTCAAGAATTGATAAATGAGTTAAGGCAACTTACAGTTTGGACAGCAACAAGAATATTGATAAAGCTTCCCAGCATGGCGTCATTACTTGCACTAATGTCTCTCAAAGGCACAATATCCAGAGACTGCTTTGTAGGAATGTGCATCAAATACAGAAAATTTGGACTGTCTGGGAAGTTGTGATGCTTTATTTCAGATGTGCCCTCCGAGAGTGTCAACTGAAACTGACTAAAGATTGCATGTGATCATTTCCCTGGTTATTACAACAGCAGCACCAAGGCATTGCACACGAGTTAAATGTTATTAAAGGCTAATATTGCTTCACTTCACAGAGTAGAGGAATAAAATAATTACCTTGAAACGTCGGGACGGAAATTATCATCAGCTCCTCCAGTGACACGAAACGTTATTCTGGCCTTTGTTACTGAAACTGATCGATGGGATTATGACAGGGACATCATGGAATAGAAAAATAAATTAGACTTCTTCGGACCTAAAAACAAAACTGACCAACATCACCAATATGAAATTCCTCAGAGCAGTTCTCGATGAAAGCGGGTGATCCCCAAACAGTAACATTGATGTAGTCCTCAGGTGAATCTCGAAGGGTGAAGTTCCAAACACCTCTCGGGGAGTTATCTTCGAAATGTGAAAGTATAAGTAGGCAAGCAGGCAGTAGGCAAATTGAAAAACCTGTAGTTAGAAATTCTCACCTTTCTTTGAGTTGATCGTTTTGGCGCTTTGGCTAGCGATTATGATGCCCACAATCAAGGTGTCATCCAGTCCAGGGCATACATCGGCCAACACAACTCTGCGTACTCCCATGTGACTAGCCATCGTGACGGTACTTTCAACGATGCAAGTGCTTCAAAAGAACACTACCAGCAGCTCGAAATTGAGAATTTAAGCAAGACAATGAGACAACGCTGACGCCGGCTTGGACCTTTTCGTTCGTTCTTCACTTGCCACTACGCGCCACCTCCGACGCGCGAACCGGAAAAAGTTGATCTTACAAAAACGACAACTTTTGACAAATTTAAAAAAAATCAGTAATTGGCTTTTTTTGGTCATTGTGGCTTTGAAACATTATTTCTAACAAAATGCTTATTTTAAACAGTTTGGAAGAGGCAATAAATGCCTTCAGATTCCGATTTTTTATAGTAGGAATGGGAACATGGCTTTGATGGTTGGTAGCCTTGACAAGAACTTCAAGCCTCCGGCAGAGCGATTTTTAAAGTCCGCCATTGTGTTCTATTTTGATAATTATGGCAACGATTAAATACTCAGAGATCCTAGAACTTACCCAATATTCCTCCGTATCATAGAATCGATCTACGGAGTTCAAAGAGAGTTTACACGGAAATCCGAGTCTCCGATCAGTTCGATATCTCGGTTATGAAACGACGCAAGCGCGAACTAAGTCGACCCTGCGGCTGCGTGTTTTGTTAAAGACGCGGGAAAAGGTCCATTTGGCGTATCAAACGCCAACAACTCTTCGACAGCAAACCTTCAATCCTCACGATCGATGTGAAGGACACTGCTAATGACAGAGAGAGTGCAGCCAGCGTGCCGTCCGTGCCGTCGGCCAACTCACGACCTTGGTGGGTCGCTCCCACAATAAAAGTAATTATGAAGGTGGACTCGGACTCCACGGGCACAAGCAGCACAAGCCAGCAGTGGAGAATCACCGAGGGAAGACATCGCGACATAGGCAGACTCACTTTTTGCCTACGGAAAAGGGGCGAAGTTACTGTTTGTCTACCTTCACCCTCTAACCATCTTAGTCTCATCCTCCTGGATCCGACTCGTGAATGAGACTCACCCCTTCCGAACATTTCGACTAGCAATAATTCAGCGGCCAATTAAAAGTACTTTAGTTTGGAGGGGGGGTGCTTTAGTGAGGGACGCGGACCGAAACGCGAGGGAAGGCCGAAGTGACGTTTCATGCGGCCTAATTGACAAGGCGAAAAACGTAAACACAGTAAACAGCGGCGGCTGCAGGCGGGGTTCCGAACGGCGCTCTGTCTCTCTCGCACTCACGGGGTTTTCCGGAAGGGGTGCAAGAGAGACGGGGCGGACGGAGCTCCGTTCGACGCCAGCCCGCTGGGCCGGCCAGTGACGCTATCATCACAAACATGGTGATGAGAATTCATTCCGAGGCATTAGACGGACGATAAGCCTGCGGGGGCGGGGCGGGGAGGGGAGGGCCGCGGCGGTCACCAGACGGTACCAATCGGAAAACAACTGTTGCCGCCAACAAGCGGGCCGCTGCTCTGGCCCCTCGGTCGCGCTGCAATGCTGCGCGAGAGCTGCCATTCAGAACTGTGCCAATACCCAGAGCAGCGGGGTGCGCGCGGAAACGAAACGAAAACCGAACGCGAAGTGGCCGTGCCGTCCGGCCGTTCGCGGTTTTTCCCGCGAACTTTGCGCTCGCGCGCGCGGTTTGCACTCATTTATTTTCCACGTGCGCGCCATTCCATTGGATGGGGTTGGTCTTTGGCAACGCCGAAGCGATGAAGGGGGCCACTGCGGTTTTATGGCGGACGGCGGAATCGGCTCAGCAGTGCGCTCGACCAAAGTTCAGCGTTTATCAGGGCCCAGTAGGCGTTGCCAGCCCCCTTCCCCCTCACTCACACACACACGCACACGCATCTTGAGTCACGTGTGATGGACGTACGCAGACCACGGGCTTGCTCCTCGAAAACAAGAACTAAGTTAGTAGTTGGTCCTGGCGCTGTATTGCGATGCATTTCGCAAGCTTTGTGGGGAATTCCCCCGATTTGCTGACACTCCCGTGGAAATGCGTGGCCGTGCGTCCGAAATCCAGTGCGATGACGTTGGACGATGGCGGCGTGGCGGGGGCACGTATGCGGCGGTGGCGACCAGTTTCCAGACGTCTCGGCGTCTTGCAGTGCAGCTCCCCTTTGGCCTTTCTTCTTCCCTCCGCCCTCCTGGTGCCGCTCGCCGCGCTCCGCTCGCCGCGCCGCCCTCTTGGGTTGATAAGATAGACCCGCAGCGCCGCTCGCCCCGCTCGCCCCGCTCGCGCCGCTCCGACCGGCGGAAAAGTATAGGCAAAGTGGAACGGCCTGTCCGGCCGTCGCTCGGCCTCAGCCTCGGCCCTCACGTCACCGCCACACGCGACACGTGCCTCCAGACACGTCCCCGGTCGCCGTGTCGCCCTGGTCACCAAGGGTCAGCTCGGGCGGGACGGCGTGTGGACCACGCCTCGGCAGCGCGCGAGTAGCGCCTGATGGGTAGGCCGCCGGACGGTCTGCACGCGTTTGGAGTGGATTATTGCCTCCGACTGTCGCACCCGCTGTGGCAACGGGTGACACAGACGGCGGCAGTTTCGCCTAAGCTCTAAAAGACGCTGGCCACTCGCTGGTCACCCGGGCTGCTGAAAAGCACCCAAAGAAAAGGCGCCAGGGGCAAGGTAGGCCACCGTCTCCACACCGGTGCGTTGCTCGACTGGCTGCTGGCCTACCAGCCAGGGGCTCCAAGCCAGGGGATTCTTTGGCTCCAGCTCCAATACATCATTTTTCAAAACTCATCCAACCAGGCGTCCTGCTTCTCTCCGACGGCTCGAAACGGAGCGCCCCCTCGGAGGGGTGTTTCCACGACAGGCTCGTCGGCGATAAGCTGGCCTTTCCTTTCGGCCGGCTCGGCTGTGTGAATGGGAGGGTCATCGTCGTCGCGGTCCGCCGCGGCCTGCGGACGAGTAGTAGTAGAGTGTGTGGTGTATTTTTAATGCCGAGAGTCGTGTGTAATAAATAAGAAAATGACGGTTTCCTCTTTCGTCAATGCGGCCCGGGTTGGCCAATGGGGGACGGCATTGCATCAGGCCGGCCTGGCTCTTGATCGCTCTCGTATGCGCCGGGCCGGCAGGCCGGCAGGCCGCCAGGAAGAGCGCCAAAGTATCTTATCGGCTCATTGGACGCCCCGTCCCGTATCGGAGTCGCGCCATTTCAAATCAAAGTGCACACCGCCGTCTGCGGACTGCGTCACCGCGTCACCCACCGCGGGGGCCAATTTGCTATCAGACGTTGATCGGACAGACGGGAGCCGGTCGGAGCGACTCCGGGACGCGGCTCCTTTGGCCGCCACTTCCCCGGGCACTTCCTGACTGCAGGCTGGCTGGCTCGGCTCCTGCCTCTCGCTGGCCAGGCTGCCGGCCAGCACGTTGGGTTGCCCGCCTCCACGGCGCCGAGCCTCGCCGCTCGCCGCTTCCGGGGGCCCCGCGGCTGCAGACCGCTCTGTCCCTCTCGCTCCCCCACGGCACGCCCCACGAGTGCGAGAGAGACAGCAGCGCTGTTCGGACAGAGCCTGCTGCTGCTGCCCCCTAGTCCCGCGAGCGTGTCAGAGCGGCCGGGGCAGCCGGGGCGTTCTGGTGGCAGCGAACCGTTTTCTCGGTCTTCTCAACCCTCCCTCGTCGAGATGCTCTGCCGTGCCTCGGTCTGCTGACAGCAGACTGATCCCGAGGCTCGTTCCCGTCGCTCTGTCTCTCTCGCACCCGTACGCGACGCCCCGCGATTGCGAGAGAGAGAGCGCGGCGTTGGGCGGGCGGTGTTTGCCCGATGCACGCGTGGTCCCACTACACTGATAAGGGTGTTTTCTACAAGACACCCGCTTATCGTGCTCACTATTTACGAACCGAGCAGGAAGATAGTCCTCGCCCCTTCCCGACAGCGGCGCTTGCCCGGCCTGCCCGGCTGCCGGCTTGCCCGCACCAGCTCATCATTACAAACACTCGTTACTCGTTATTAATTTATGGTTTCCTGGCAATGAGCGAGACGAAAGCGGAAACAGCGGAGCCTCGCTTGCGGAGCCGCGAGAGCTAAGCTGAGCTAAGCGGCGAGCTAAGCGGCGCGCCGCACTGGCGACACCCAAGATCGGTGGCGGCCTGGCGTGGCGACCACCGCGGCGACGCGGCCAAATCGGAGCTGCTTTCGTGGGGCTTTTCTGGGGCGGAGCTCAGCACTTCCCTTCCGGTCTGACCACCCCGCCCCGCCCCGCCCCGGCCGACGCAACAGGCAGCTCGGCGGCTCTACACGCATTATGCGAGAACAACATTGCCAGCGACCGGCTTGGATTACCGGCAGTCGGCCACGCGGCGCCCATGGGCTGCAGCAGCGCAGCGCCAGGCTCGAGTCCAGGAAGTGACTCCGGGGGAGCAGGGCGCAGGGGCGGCGCAGGGGGTGGGGCTGATGTGATTCGAATCGCGTTACGGCAGGCGGTGGGCCGCGAAGCGGCGAAGCGGCGAAGCAATCGGTAGTGTCCACTTCGGGCCCAGGCGTGGCATACGCAAGGGTACGAACCGGCCATCAGAAAAGCCAGCTGTGGAGCAAAACCCCTGCCACCCGAAGATTCCCCTGGGCTGGCGTGTCTGGCGCTGGCGGTCGGTCGGCGCGGCGCCTCCGCCGGTGCCGGTAGCGTCTGCCGCGTCTGCCGCGTCTGCTGGCGCTACAGTACAGGGAAGTCTTCCGGGTGCGGCGCGGTGCGCGGTGCGGCGGCTCCCGGCGGCGGCGCGTCGATTTGGCGGGCCCCGCCCCGGGCCGTTGGCGGCGCTGGCGGCGGTGGCGCTGCAGGAAGGGGAAGTACACGACGCGACTGGCGGGGCTGGCGGGGCTGGTGAGGCTGGCCTACATCGGGGAGCTCGAGCTAGCTCGAGCCCGGTCCGCGAAGAGTAGTCCGGCCTCCGGCCCGGCGGCGTGGGGGCCGGCCTGGCCCGCGGGCCGGTTTGGGTTCCGGGGCTCCGCGGCTCCGCGGCTCCGCGGCGCGGCGTGACGGCGTGCATGGATGTGGCGGCAAAGCCTGCAAAGCGCGGATGGCTGTATTGCACGGGGGCCGGCGCAGCAGAAGAGGGGTATTATCAATGGTGCGGTTGCGCAACGATGCAGCCAGGCTACTCTTCGGAAAACAAACCTGCCTGCGCAAACATGGCGCCGCTCGACAGTTTGACGAGGATTTATTTCCAACTCCTCTGGACTCATCTTTCGTGAGAGGATTGCAAGACCTGTCAATGTTCGAGGAAATCGAATTTGTAGAGACATCTAAGAAAGAGACGTCTTCCAGGACTCCAGGACAAAAATTTGTCTGCTCGGGTCACAAAATGACAACAAACGATGTCATTTTGACGCGAAAATGGACCTTGACTACGTACATGGCTCCAGGCAATTTTTGACTGAAATCTCTATGGGTGCGTATTCCAGAGTTATTTTCAACGGACTCGATTGGAAACAGGGGCGCGTGATGTGATATCCTCGCGGAGAAAGGTCGGCTGTCTCCACGCGTTGCCACGCCTCGCGGGGCAAACACGCCGTGCCGCCTCCTCGCTTCCTGGTCAGTCAATTAGAAAGAGGTGCGGCAGTGCACCGGCAGCGCCGAGCAACACTCTTATCAGTGTGCCGCCTCTGCCGCCTCTGCCGCCGCGGCCAGGAAGACCAGGAAGGCGACGACCGTCCTTATCGACGCATCTGATGGCACATCGAGGCGGCTTAGCTCAAACTCGCAGTTCTTCGCCGTAACTGCGACTAATGGTGCGCGCGATCAGTGGAAGCAGACGCGCGATGCCCCGCCGGTCATCTCTTGTGCGTGTGTCCGTGTGTGTGAGGGGCAGTGACGTGAGGTCATTTCTTCTGCCATGCTGATACAGCAGTACTTTGTCAAAACAACAACACTATTTTTCAGCGCTCGCAAATGAGGATTACGAGAGATGAGCATTTGATGTTCCGATCGAGGACGGCGCCGTGCGGTGGGTGGCCTACCCGCCAGGCGGCGCGCGGCGAGGCGCGCGGCTGGCTAACCAGTCGGGTCAGCCCCACACCGCCCCACACAGCCCCCGCGTAACCTGTCGTAACGTATTAGGTAACGCCGGCCACGCGTTATGGCTCGGCGTTACGGCCATCCACGCCACGCCACGCCGCGCCACGCCGCGGCCGAGATACGATGCCAGTGCCGCCGGGGCCTTAGGCCGGGGTGGGGCAAAGTAGGCCGGAGAAAGAGAACGGAAAGGACCCATCAAAACATCAGGCGGCCGGGCCAGCCGGGAAGAGATTTGCCGCTCTGGACAACTGCCTGGACTGGACGGTCCGGCGGGAGCGATGATACATAGTGGACAGCCAGGACACCCATGACGCCCTCGACACCCAGGATAGACATATGACCTCAGGATAGACCGGGATAGACGCCTAGCCAGACCATGCAGGCGCGGATCGGTGGGAGAGGGGGTGCAGGCCGCCTGAAACGTAGGCACTCACTGTCAGTACGCAAAAAGCGCAACGTTCCCCCCGGAGAGTCCTGGATCCGCACCTGGCCGCGCTCCTGCGCGCCGCGCGCCCGGTTGGAAGCCCCGCGGCCTGGGTGGCGCCACACGTGTTTAGTCGTGAAAAGTGGTTCAGTTAGGTCCTTCCCCAGCGGCGGAGTGAAAGGCGTAAAGCATGCAAACCCGCGGCGCGCGAGCCAAAGGCCGCCAAAGGCCGCCAAAGGCCGCCAAAGACGCCGTCCGTCGCGGGGTCTGTCTGTCTCTCTCGCACTCATGCGGCGTCCCGTAGATGCAGCGCCACGATGCACTGTTCGGAATCAGCGCTGAGGAAGGTGAAGGCGCCTTGCGCCCTCAGCCAACCAAAAAGCCGCCCTCCCCGCGGGTTTCGATCCCGGGTCTTTCACCGTCGGCCGCCGGCGACATCCGCGTTCGGCCACCGCGATGCAGTGGCAAGCCGCACGGGCGGGGACCGCAGAGAAGAAGAACAGCAATAAACGACTTGCAAACAACAACAACAAGAGCAGCAGCTGCAGCAGCGCCGCGTGACTCATCTGGGCGCCCTTGAGGAAACATAACAATGATCCGGTTTGAGCCGCGCCGCGCCGCGCCACGCCGCCGAGTGAAAGTGCGGAAGGGCAGAGCGCGCCGCCCCACTCTGCGGCCGCCCCGCCCCGCCCCGCCCCGCCGTGTGAGTTCCCC